CCCCTTCTCCCTGTCCCCTGACTGCCACCGGAGCCCCTGCTCCTGACTGCCCTCCGCTGCCCCATCCAATCCCCCTCTCCTTCCTGACTGCCCCCCCGAGACCACTGCCCCCATTCAACCCCCCTGTTTCCCACCCTCTGACCACCCCAACCCCTATCCGCCTCCCCGCCCCCGACTACCACCCCGAACTCCCCTGCCCTCTATCCACGCCCCCCCTGCTCCCTTACCGCACTGCCTGGATCAGGCTGGGCTCTGCAGCTGCGTTGCCCCAGGGGCTTGCAGTCCCGCCGCCCAGAGCATTGCACCGGCGGCGGGGTGAGCTGAGACTGCAGGGAAGGGGCCGGGGGCTAGCCTCCCGGGGCAGGAGCTCAGGGGCCAGGCAGGAGGGTCCCATGGGCCGGATGTGGCCTGCGGGCCGTAGTTTGCTCACCTCTGTGCTAGAACAAATGCAAAAATGGATCTCTCAAATCCTGAAAACTGTCACTTCCTAGATCATTGGTTCTGATTCTTGGGGGTCAAGGTCTCAAGATGCACCACAAAGCTGTATCCTAGAGGTTGTGTTATTTCCTACAGAATCTAAGCTTTTATTTAACCAAAAAAAAAAAAAGTTATTTCTAACCTTTCTGCTTGCGAAATATAACCTCTCACATGTAAATACTGCAGTAGTAAGGCTTATTAAATGTGTAGCATCCCAGAATATATTCAGTAAAACTATCTGAATTACATTTTTTGATCTCTTTCAGATATGAAGTGATCAAAGGGACATGCATTGAATGTAATTGTCTTCCTTAGCTATAGACAACCCACGGAATTCAAATCAAATTAACGTGTGTGTGTGTGTGTGTGTGTGCGCGCGTGTGTTACAGCATTTTGGACTTTTGGGGGGACCAAAGAAGCACAAAGGATTCCGAGACTGGGCACAGAGGATTCTGGGATGTGGGGCAAGATAGAGAAAAGCTTGGGGTATTGGGGCCAGGAATGGCAAAATAATCTGAGAACCTCCGTTCTGGATATTCATTGAGTATTAGATCAACTTTGTTCACCCCATCAACACCGTGTGCACATTTGCTTTTTGGAAGTGGGAGGTTATTCTATTTTTTTATGCTCAAATTGCTTTTAAAATGGTTTCCAGCCTAGTTCAGGAATCACATGACATTTCTACCTCTTTCACCACGGGCACTGAAAACTATCCGCTAACCATTCATGAATTTGGTGCCGTGGCTGATCCCGTAGGCACAGAATTCACCATTTTCACTTTGGGACATTCTGTTTGGTTAAAGACAGCCGATTTTTATGAAGCTTTTGCCATAGCAGAAAACCAAACATAAATTGGGCAAAATTACTAGATCTTGAACTGTCTGTAAATCTGGTAAAAACGTGAGTTTAATTTTTGCCAGTTTCACCAGTAGCATAAGCATCTTTATGCAGTTATGCCCAGGTACCTAATGGCAATGAAAAGTTTGCAGGCTGGCCCGTTCCAGAAACAGTCCATTTACTATATGCCTGTGGGCAGTGCTTTTCCAGTAGGAGAGCTTGGACCATTTTGTAATAGCAGCTGTGATCCAGACAGCCTTTGTGCATTGCTTTCCCCCAAAATCAGGCGGGAAGAGTCACCAAGAGAATGAAATGAAATATTTCCCCCTCTTCGCCTTCCTGGAGTTGTGGCCCTCCACCTCTTAGATGTATCATCTCCCACTAGCCACAGAACGAAATTAGAAATCAAACGCTCCATACAGCAGTGTAATGTACTACACAAATATGATGTAAAGCAAGTTCTGTGCATCGAATGGTATTAAAATCTGTTTTTAAACACCATGAGATCATTCTTCGTACAGTGGGCACCATTAACAGATGGACATTTACCAAACACGGTAGTTTAAATTTACCAAAGTATTTCCCATTCTAAGCATTAAACAAACGCCCCAGCAAAGATAAAATGTGCAGTGGGGCAAGCAGTGTATATTTTCCATGGTTTTCTGCTGCAGTAAATGGAAATGAACACTCTTTAAAACAAGTATGGGATATGTTTGCATAAGTATTGCCATCGTGACATGGTGGGATTATGTCCTTATAGCAATTTACCATTACAGAAAGGATACCCAAGATTTGTATTTGCAAGTCTTTTGATAGCAAGTAAGCTATATTTTACCTTTGGATTGTTCCTTTGAAATTAAAATTCTGTGCTCATGTAGGAATAGGCCCTGGGGAATAATAGGAAGAATCGGAGGTTGTATTTGAATTTACTCTGCTAATGGTGATCATCTGCATTCCTTGGCCAGAGAGTTGCAGATTTTGGAGATTAAAAAAACATTCCAGTGTTTTACTGGCATTATAGATAACAACACAGAGATAAAAAACATGCCTTTTCTTGCCAAAAGAATCTAGAGAAGCAGAAGATGGCAGGCCTGGAGGCCCAGAAGAGGCCCTTGATGTTGGCAGCATTAAATGGACTCTCCGTTGCTAGAGTTCCAGTGCCTGAGGATAGCCAGGATGAAGTAGCCAAGGTGCCAATGGATGAGAGGGTAAGAGAGAGGTTCACGAAGTGCTATTTATTCCATTGTTTCTAGCAATGTACACGTTTTGAAGTTTTAAAAACTGGAAACTATTACTGGTGGCCACATTGAGAGCAACATCCGTGATGGAGGTCTTTGGTATTGTCACTGCTTCAGTGAGGCCAAAAACTTGAGCATTGAACAATTGTAAGAGGTTCTGAATGCCGTCATCGCCCACTGAAGTCAGTGGAAGTTGAAGGTGCTTAGCACCTCAAGGAGTGTTCAGCGTCTCACAGGATCAAGCCCTAAATCTAAAATATTGCACATCTCCTCTTGGCCAGGGCGGTTGATACAGCAGTCACTCTTTGTTGTAACATAATGTGCTGAATGATGCGTGTAGGTTGCTGAGAAGAGCCCTAGTTGCAATCCAAGAGACAAAAAAAAATTCATTCTTCAAGATTTCTGTGTCCATTTCTGTCTATGCACATGCATGTAATTAAAAAAAATTTAAAATATCTGCTGCCATTAACTATTGGGGCAAATGTTCAAAGAGGCCTCCCTCCTGATTTTGTGCATGGAATTTTGCGCCCTATACAGTTTGTACAAGCAAATGACAGCAATTACATATGGTAAGCCCATTTCTCCCGGATACACATCAGAGGTGGTTCTTCGAGTGATTGCTCATGTCCATTCAACTTAAGTGTGTGTGCTCGCCATATGCACCGGTGCCGGAAGTTTTTCCCTCAGCAGTATCCGTAAGGGACCGGCTCTGGCACCCCTTGGAGTGGCACGTGTATGCCACGGCATATAGGGCGCTGCCAGCCCCCTCCACCCTCAGTTCCTTCTTGCTGCCAGCGATGGTGCATGGAACTGATGCTGCTTCAGCTAGAGCTGTTGATTTTTGTTGGTTCGAACTCATTTGCCTCTTGCAAACATTATTGTATATAGTTTCGCTTTAGTTTAGTTCAACCTATTTGTTAAGTTAGAGACTTAGGTCCCTAAAGGGACTTCGCCTCGGGACGAGGCATGCCCCAGTCCCCAGGCTTTAAACCCTGCGATCGCTGTAAAAGGCCCATGCCCATTGGTGATCCACATAATAGTTGTTTTCCGTGCTTGGGGGGAGGGACAGCTCAGTGGTTTGAGCATTGGCCTGCTAAACCCAGGGTTTTGAGTTCAATCCTTCAGGGGGCCACTTAGGGATCTGGGGCAAAATCAGTATTTGGTCCTGCTAGTGAAGGCAGGGGGCTGGACTCGATGACCTTTCGAGGTCCCTTCCAGTTCTAGGAGATAGGATATCTCCAATCACATTAGTGATAAGTGCAAAATCTGCAAGTCCTTCAAGCCCAGGATGAAGAAGGAGCGTGACATTCGTTTGAAGGCACTCCTGATGGAGTCTGCCCTTACCCTGATGCCGGAGCAGTGCTCTCATTCGAGCACCATAACCTCAGTATGCACTACCCCACCGGTACTGTCTACGAGCCGGCACCAGTCTCCTTCCATGGCTCCAGCCAAGAAGCGCAGGAAGACGGGGCGAGGAAGGTCTCCAGCTTCCTGCAAGGAAAAGGACAAATCTGGGGTGGACCAAGGCCCTGTCTCGGGTGCCTCTTCACCCCCTTCGGGATCCCGGGCCCCAGCTCAGCTCGAGCAGTGTATCCCAGCCCACTCCCCGCCTGGGATACACTGCTTGGGGTCGGATAGCATCGAAGGTCCTTGTCAGCTCCGGAGTCAGCGCCCAGAAGCTCCCCGGCACCGGTACCGCTCAAGGGACAGGTCAAGGGACCGACGGTACCGTTCCCCGGACCGTCGCTGATCCCCCAGGGCGGCGTCACCGTGTGCAGCTACATCTTCACGATGCTGAGCCCGCTCCAGTTCCCACTCCACATCCCGGTACCGTTCGTTAAGTGTGAGGCGTAGATCGCCAGCCCAGGGCTGTCGCAGATCCACCAAGTGCCGCCAGTCGCCAAGGCCCTGATCCAGACGCTCGTCAAGGTCAGCCAGATCCAGCTTCGGGAAGGGCGACTGGTACCGATCGGGACAGAGCCACCAATCAGCCCCATCTTGGTCACAGGGGAGCGACCGCTCGGGCTGTGGCTCAGGTTCGGAGCAAGGTTCCCTAGCGGCAGGACAGGCTCCGGCACCTACGGTGCAGACTACGTCGGCGGCACTGAAGCCGGGCCCGTGGCCTCAGACTCCGTGGCTGGCACAGTGGAAGCCATGGGGGTTCGCTCAGCCCTCTCAGGCCACCCACTCAATATCCAGAGCTTCGGAAAGACTGGCTATCGCCCTCTCTCACCCCCCTCCAGCCCAAGAGGCCTCGGCTGCAGGCACAGGAGGAAGTGGGCGAGCAAGCCACCGGACCACCTATGGTTGCAGAGGACCCCTTGATACTGGCTTCCTCCTCCTCCTCGTCACCAGATGAGGCCATAGTGGGGCACCCTCCATCGGTGCCCCAGGATGATGCTAAAGCACATCAGGAGCTGTTAGAGAGCTGAAACTAACCTGGGCCTCCAGGCGGAGGAGTTAGAGGAACCCACAGACTCCCTCTTTAATGTTCTCTGCCCCGTGGCCCCGGCCAGGCTAGCTTTGCCCCTACATGAGGGGTCACTAAAATTACAAATGCCCTCTGGCAAACTCCCTCCTCCTTGCCTCTGATCTCCAAGAGGGTGGAGCGCAAGTACTTTGTGCCATCCAAGGGCCACAAGTACCTTTATACCCACCCTGTTCCCAATTCCCTAGTGGTAGAGGCGGTGAACCACAGGGAGAGACAGCATCAACCAGGGGCTACCCCTAAGAATAAAGACTCAAGGTGACTAGACTTGTTTGGGTGTAAAGTTTATTCGTCCTCCAATCTACAGTTGCGGATGGCCAACCATCAGGCCTCACTAGGCCGCTGTGATTTTAATATGTGGCAGGCCGTGACCAAGTTCAAGAGCGCCCTTCCTGAGGCTTCTAGGAAGGAGTTCCGGGCAATCCTGGATGAGGGCTCGACTGCAGCCAGAGCAGCTCTCCAGGCAGCATCGGATGCTGCAGACACCGCCGCCCATACCATGGCATCAGCCATCTCATTGTTCAGGGCTTCCTGGCTGCTCCTTTCTGGTCTTTCCTCGGAGGCTCGGCAGTCAATGCAAGACCTCCCTTTGGATGGGCACGCTCTGTTCGCAGAACAGGCAGACATTAAACTCCATGGCCTGAAAGATTCATGTATGACCCTAAATACACTGGGCCTGTACGTCCCCAGCCCGCAAGTGGTTTAAGTCGCAGCAGCCTCAGAACCAGGGGAGCCACCCTCGCCAGGAACCTCCCCACAAAAGATCCAGGGGCTACAAGAGGTGCCTGGCCACCAACCCCCATCTACATCACAGGAGGGCTTGACCTGCAGTAAGCAGATGGGCAAGCGCCCGTTTTGAGGGTACGCCTGAGGGTGACCTACCGCACTGTTCCCCAGATCCTTCCTCCCCTCTGTTTGCCAACCGCCTTTCTTCCTTCCTCCTTGCATGGGCGTCTATAACATAGGACCAATGGATCCTCAATACGGTGGCACAGGGTTACACCCTTCAGTTACTTTCTACTGCCCCTTCCCGCCTCTCCTCCCTGTTCCTCCTCAGGGACCCCCTCACGAGAATCTTCTCGTTCAGGAGGTAGAGGGTCTACTACAGCTGGGTGTGCTGGAGGTAGTTCCTGTGGAGTACAGGAACAAGGGGTTCTATTCCCAATACTTTTTAATCCCCAAGGCCAAGGACGGTCTGCGACCCATACTAGACCTGCATACTTGAACCACTATTTAGCGAAAGTGAAGTTCTGCACAGTCTCCCTGGATCCAGGAGACTGGTACGCTGCCCTCAATCTGAAAGATGCGTACTTCCACATCGTCATCTTCAAGGGACACAGACGCTTCCTCCGGTTTACGGTAAGTCCCAACCACTCTTAGTTCCCGGACTTTCCTTTTGGCCTAGTGATGGCACCGGCGGTATTTACCAAGTGCACGTCAGTGGTGGCGGCTTACCTCAGACGTCAGGGTATCCAGATCTACCCATACCTCGACGACTGGCTCATCAAGGGCAGCTCAAGGTCCAAGGGGATGTCACAGTGCTGCTAGCCACGTGCCGTGGCCTTGGTCTGTTTGTGAACGACAAAAAATCCACTTTAGTTTCAGTACAGAGGATAGAGTTCATCAGAGTGGTGCTCGAATCGACCTGCACACTGGAGATTCAGGGCACTGATAGACCTCATCGTGGAAGTCTCCACATTTCCCTTGACCATGGCCAGGGTTCGCCAGTGCATGCTAAGTCACATGGCAGCATATTCATATATATGGTGCACCACACCAGGCTCTAGATGCGACCCTCAGTTCCGGCCCCACCCGGCTTTCCTTCCCAAGGTGGTGTCCGCTTTCCACATGAGCCAGGACATCTTTCTTCCGGTCTTCTGCCCTAAGCCCCATAAGACTAGTGAAGAGAGGCGCCTTCACGCTTTGGATGTAAGAAGAGCTCTGGCTTTCTACCTAGATTGGACAAAACCTTTCCATAAGTCGACTCAGCTTTTCATCTCTATAGCTGATAGGATGAGGGGCCTCCCAGTGTCCATACAAAGGATTTTTAACTGGATCACCTATTGCATTCGAACCCGCTACGAGTTAGTGGGAGACCCTCCGCCGCCAATCATCAGAGCCCACTCGACTAGAGCGCAGGCATCCTCGGCGGCCTTCCTGGCACACGTTCCAATCCAGGACATCTGTAAAGCTGCGACGTGGTCCTCAGTATACGCGTTTATGGCCAACTATGACATCATGCAGCAGGCCAGAGACCACACTGGGTTCAGCAGAGCTGTATTGTAATCTACATGTCCGTGAACTCCTTACCTGCCTTCAGAGGTACTGCTGGGAGTCACATAAGTTGAATGGACATGAGCAAGTACTTGAAGAAGAAAAGACAGTTACCTTTTCCATAACTGGTGTTCTGCGAGATGTGTTGGTCATGTCCATTCCACATCCTGCCCTCCTTCCCCTCTGTCAGAGTTTCTGGCAAGAAGGAACTGAGGGTGTAGGGGGCTGGCAGCACCGTATATGCCGCAGCATACACGCGCTACTCTAGGGGGCGCCAGAGCCGGTCCCCTACGGATACTGCTGAGGAAAAACTTCTGGCACCGATGCATGTGGCGAGCAAACACACCTAAATTGAATGGACATGAGCAACACATCTCGAGGAACACCAGTTATGGAAAAAGGTAACTGTCTTTATTTGTATGTGCACAGAAATGGCAATGTACAAATTAAGGCCATGTTTTGAAAATGTGAACCTAAATTCATTGTAATAAAAGAGTGACTACTTTTAAAGAGAATTTTTTTCAAAAATGTACTTAGATAAGTCCATTTATGGAATCAGGATTGTAACCAGAAGATTTTTGCTTTATCTAGCACCAGAATCTGTAACTATAAAAAGAGAATGTGCTAGAAACATAAAATTCTCTGCTGATTTAACTACACTGAAGCAGACAGAGTTATGCATTCTCAGACAACATAAAACTTTGTATAGTAAGCAGTATAGCTCCAAGCAAAAAGACGAGAACATCCTAGTTTGTTTGATGATTCGTTCTGTATTGAGATAAAATACTGCAGTGTGATACTTCCGCAATCATTCTGTCTCGAAAAATTACTTGATGAGAGTATTCCTTTCCTTCTGTTAAATCACAGTGCAAAATCTTGAAGAGGAAGTTGGAAGAGGGGATGGTATTCACCGAATATGAGCAGATTCCAAAGAAAAAGGCAGATGGGATCTTCACCACTGCAGCATTGCCTGAAAATGCTGAGCGCAACCGCATCAGGGAAGTCGTTCCTTATGAGGAGAACAGAGTAGAGTTGGTACCAACCAAAGAAAATAATACAGGCTACATCAATGCCTCGCACATAAAGGTAAAGGCTTTTGAAGCATCACATGGCATATGAAGAAGCATTAGGGGAGTGGGTATGTTGTTACAAGTATGGCCATTGTTTTCTAACATTAGAGGACTTGCAAAAAGTCATTTACTCACATCTACCTAGGTTTCTTTAAAAAATGGGCAGGTTGTTTTACCTTGGACGACAATGTCACTACATCACATTCCTAATTTCAAGGCTCAGTGAACAATCATGAATTGATGTATTTATTACATTTCTGGGACCTAGAAATCATTGTACAGAAATTTCCTTATCTGTTGCAATGTTGCATAGACTAGCAGCTGAATGCTTGCATTAAGCTAAAAAGGGCACCCAACATATCTTAAATTTAACTAATGGGCTAGCTCTACCCATATTAGTTCAGACCAATACAATTTCCATCACCCTGATCCTGCAGGAGCAGCTGGACCAGCGGGAATTTCCTCCCAGGGGAGGAGGATAGGCAGTGGTTCCACCAGGAGAAACTTTAAATGGAAACCTGCAGGGAGAAGGGGAGTGCACTGAATCAGTAGGAGGCCTGGCCCCAAAGCTTCTATCTTATTTTTAAAACTTACGGGGCTTGATTTTTAAAATATAGGGGTGTTAAATGCATGTTTGCCTTTTGAGCATGTCCAGCACTCAAGTGGTCTAGTAAATCAGACCCCTAAAATAATGGCTCTTCCATTTAGACTGGTCATGTGAGCATTCATATTGCCTTGTTTCAAATGGGAGTTTTGTAAAATGAAGTTATGTTACTGTTCAGAAATTCAGTGTATTAATGGTTTAAATACAGTCTGACCCTCTATGCTGCTTGTAAGCCTGCTATATAGTCATTTTCAGCAGTAAGCTGTTTGAGCGTGGCTGCAAATTCATTTTTATCTTCTCTGTTTCCAGTTACAGCTTTTCAAGGCCCCTTGGTGATTATCACTCTGTCCTGAGAGAAGTAGTGGTACTCAGTTCATGCCAGGCTGCCATGTGGCATAACAGGGCTGCCTTTTCCCATTGTCAATAACAAAATGGGGGAAAAAATCAAATTAGAATAATAAATAAAACATTCTGTTCATTTACATCTTCGTGGAAGAAAGGCCTTTAAGTCCAAAGAGAATAGCTAATCTTAGTCATGATTTTCAATATTAAATACTGTTGATTCAGAACACCTTTCTAAACCAGGATCCTGTCGGGTTATCACTTTCCCACCAGAGTCCTGGTGGGTAGCAGATACTGGTTTTTGGCATCATCTGCCATTGCTAGAATGATGGATTATTGAATCAATTTTTTTTTTCATCTAATTTGTGGGAGAAAAAAATTCCTAACAATATAAATTGTGCCCATAAGTTGGTATCAGCCAGAAAAAGAATTTTCCTCAGCCAGTTTTAAGAGTCCACATTTCATTTTTTGTGTCACTTTTGTTCGCACACCCATTTGAGATCTAGAGAGCATGCAGGAACATGCACTCATGTTTTAGTATCTGACACTCTGGCTCTTGCCAGTATTTTCTCCTTGACCTCCAAGTGGCTGTTACAGAAGCCAAGCAAGTGATCTTTTTGCTTAGAAGGTGAAATCGCATCTGTGAAATTTACCTCTGTAGCATAAAGTGTGTGCTTGCAGCCCAATACTCAATTTTTAATAACCTGCAGTCAGGGCATTAGAATGCAGTAAACATTCCAGGCATCACTCTCCCTCCAGACTATTTATGGTTCTATCCTATCAGATGCCAGGAGGCTGGATATTTGGACCAGAAGACAAAGACAGCTCCTATATCATTTTGATAAGATCCATGCCTGGAGGATCATGACCCCACCACCACTAAGCCTGCTGTCCCTGTGGGTTGTCAGCACTTCTCTGCTTACTTAACACTGGACTATCCTGTCAAGATGTTAAGCACAGTCCAAATACGGAGACACAAATCATAATTTAAGTTATGGATTTAAAAAAAACCTCTTGCTTTTTGCTGCACATAGAGCAGGGGCTGGCAAACTTCTTAGTCTGAGGGCCATATCGGGTTTCGGAAATTGTATGGAGGGCCGGTTAGGAGAGGCTGTGCCTCCCCAAACAGCCAGGTGTGGCCTTGCCAACACCCCCTAGCTGACCCACCCCCCTGCTTCTCGCCCCCTGACGGGCCCCCCTGGGACCCCTGCCCCATCCAACCCTCCCTGTCCCCTGACAGTCCCCCTGGGACTCCTGCCCCATCCACCCCCCCCTGCTCCCTGTCCCCTGACCGCCCCTGGCCCCTGACTGCCCCCTGCTAACCCATCCAACCTCTCCTCTCATTCCTGGCTGCCCCCCGGGACCTCTGCCCCATTCAACCACCCTTTCTCCCTGACCGCCTCTGGAATCCCTGCCCCTGCTGCCCCATCCAACCCCCCCCTCCTTCCTGACTGCCCCTCCGGGACCTCTGCCCCCATATTCCCCGCCCTCTGACTGCCCCGACCCCTATCCACATCCCCGCCCCCTGAGCACCCCCCTGAACTCCCCTGTCCTCTATCCAACCCCCCCTGCTCCCTGCCCCCTTACTGCGCTGCCTGGAGCACCGGTGGCTGGCAGCGCTACAGCCGCGCTGCCCAGAGCACCAGGACAGGCAGTCATGCCGCCCAGCTGGAGCCAGCCACGCCACCGCGCAGCACAGAGCACCGGGTCAGGCTGCGGCTCTGCAGCTGCGCTGCCCCAGGAGCCCGCAGCCCACCGCCCAGAGCATCGTGCCAGCGGCGCAGTGAGCTGAGGCTGCGGGGGCGGGGAAACAGCGGGGGAGGGGCCAGGGGCTAGACTCCTGGGCTAGGAGCTCCGGGGCTGGGCAGGAGGGTCCCGCGGGCCGGATGTGGCCCACGGGCCATAGTTTGCCCACCTCTGACATAGAGCATAATCCAAAGATTGTGAAAAAGATTCCTATTGATTCAGTGGACTTTGGATCAGGTCCATATTACACAAAAATGCAATCAGATAAAAAAAATCATATATTGAATACAGCTACATATACAAATACAGGGCCAGATGTCGAGTATTTGAAATTTCAATTGATTTTAAGCACTGTTCATCAATTATCTGGATTTGGCCCACAGATTGTAGTTACTGTACATACAGAAGAGTGGTGTATATGATTGAATAGGAAACAAAACAAGGAGCTAGATTTAAGGGGGGAAAAAACCTTTCCTGGTATATTAAAAACAATTATTTAAATACAGCTCTAATCATTGTGGCATCTAAGTGCAAAAGCCAAACATCTGAGTTTAGTGCTGTTGCAGCAGTACGAGCTAAACTGACATTCCTTTCCTAAAATTTATACAAAGACTTGCATCTCAAGCATGGTACGCACTTAGTTTTGTCAACGTTATTGATTGTTCTTTATAGCACTGGCTGCCAGAACCTTGATATCTATGTTTGTATCAGCACTTAATATAAATCTTTTTCTCTGGGATTTATAACTTTGTCAATAAAAAGTTGCTCTGGACTGAAACTTGGAATTAGAGGTCCCAGTCTCTGAGACACAGAAAATATATAACTTTGTCATAATGGGTTCACCTGGTTTTGTTTTTAAGCTGCTAAAAGTAATTTTTTTTTAAATTAGGTTTAGTGACTTTAAATGTTCTTGGGTTTTTTAGCTGTAGAATTGAAAAATAGTTTGGATATGAAAAAAAAGTGAAATTTAGTAGGTGATAGTGTTAAAATGGCAGATTTTTACACATATCAGCAAATTTTAAATTATCTAAATATTTTAGAAGATTTACTTCATAGGAGAATTACAAATAATATGTTGTAAATGGGAATTTTCAAGGTGATCTAACAGTACATTTTAGTTATTGCACAGTATAGAGCATGTAAATTTTGTTTCAAATATTCTTTTTAATTACCTATTTATATGCTGCAGTACAAACACACCAAAAGTATTTTTGCAAGATCTGTTAGGTCAATTATATGTATTGGAAAAGGATTTCCATAATTTACTCTTGAAAAACTGTTAAATGTGCCATATCTATTGATAGACTGCAACCACTGAACTGAAAACCTAAATTAGTAGAGGAAGAGAAATTCAAAGCAAATTCTGACATTCTATCTGTATTTCATTGCTAGCTGGCTGCTGGCATATCAGCCTAATGTGTTATATGCAATGTGTGGGCATAACTGGATGATTTGGGAACAGGCTCAACTGCAACTTTGAAAGTGACAGAACAGGACTACTTTCTAGAAATAATTTTTGTCCATTATAAAATAATTAAGCATAATCAAATCTAGTGACATCAGAGGACTAATCAACCTCTGGCTTTCCTGATGCAAAATGTTCAAATGGTGCTTACAAAACTGTATGTTATCTGCAGCCGTGCGGTCTTTTGAAATGCATATAGAATCTGCCTAGTGCCCAGACTTTCTTTCAGCGCAATCACTGAGGGCCTGATGCAAAGCCTATAGGAGTCAACAGGAGTCTTTCTAGGGTTAAGTCTACACTGCAGTTGGGAGTGAGCCTCCCGTCCCAGGTAGACAGTTTTGAACTAGAGCGGCTCCAGCTAGTGTGCTAAAAATAAAAGTGTGGACATTGCTTTCAGGCTGCAGTTCGGGCACTCAAACACATCTGAGGCTCACTCCCAGCAGCAGTCTAGAAATATCCTTAGTGATTTCAATGGGCTTTGAATCAGGTCCTTAAGCAAAGATTTTCCTTTTTCCATTTTATGCACTGCATGGTCTTAATTTTCTGCAAAACAGGAAGAAGTATTCCTCTCGAGGGCTTGCTCATGTCTATTCCATTCTAGGTGTGCGCACACCCACGTGCACAGTCATCAGAGGTTTTTGCCTTAGCAGTATCTGTAGGGTCAGCTATAGCGCCCCCTTGAGTGCTGCGCTCATGTATTGGTATATGAGGCACCGCCAACCCTACGTCCTCTCAGTTCCTCCTTACCGCTGTGACGGTTGGTCGGAGCGCCTTGTCTTGAATCGCACTGCAGAAAAGTCTGGCATTAACTCTATTTTTTTCTGACTCCTAGGTTACTGTAGGTGGGGAGGAATGGCACTATATAGCCACACAAGGACCTTTGCCACACACTTGCCATGACTTCTGGCAGATGGTGTGGGAACAGGGGGTGAATGTTATAGCCATGGTCACAGCTGAAGAGGTACGTAAAATTACGTAGAGCAATTCTTTCCGAATGTGAGCAACTCTACCATTGTCACTGCTTCCCATTCCAATAATGTTTTTCTTTAGCAGCCCTTTTATTTTCTCCTTTTATTCCCCTTGAACAGTTGTCTGGAGATAATCTACTGCTGTGACCTTGTGTTTTATAGCACTCTAGTATTTAGCTTGTCATTTACTAAAATAAAAAACAACCACCACCAAGCTTCAGTTCAGTTGTAAGACTTTGGTTTGCCAAACAAAGCAAAAATGTTTCCATTGGAATGAGAACCCTGAACTGCTCTTGGTTAAAACGACATTTATTCCCAGCGCATCCAAGGCCAGTCCTGCATACCGTCATTCTTATCGCTGAAAAGAGACCAGAAGCTGTTGTTCCTGGAGAAGTGTCCATTTAAAAAAAATCCTTTTTATTCCTATGCCAAGCAAAACAGTTATTTTTATTGCACATGTTGCTAACTAACACTACATCCAGCTTTGAACCCTGCTGCCTTATCAGAACATAGGAATTAAAATACCACATTAGCCCAGTGTTCTGTCTAGTTCACTTTCACATCTCTGATATAAACCAGTACCAGATTGTCAGAGGTTAGAGAGACAAATACTCTTAATGGACAGTTATGAAATAACCTGCCTATGGGGAAGTTTCTTCCTCACCTGTTGCAATCAGAAGTTGACGTATACCCTGAAGGATGAGAGTTTTTCCCTTAGATTTTTTTTTTTTTTTTTTAAGTCTCTTTAATTCAGGCCCGCTGACAGCAATTCCGAATCCGTCACTTCCAGGACCGACCGCCGTGGCCAATCGCACTGGCCCGCAGCACAGGGCCCACAGCGGTCGCGCGTGCCTAGGAGCCCTGCAGCCTGCCTGGACGACTTTTAGATCGCCCGAGCTCCTGGGCAATTGCCCCCTTTGTCCACCCTGTCGGCGGGCCTCCTTTAATGTAACTGTGGATGTTCTCATTACCCATCTAAATGTTCAAGCCTTGAGCCTTCTCAACCCTTGGACTAAATGATATTTTTTCTGGCATTGAGGTTCCATTCATTTAATGCCATTCAGTTTCTTGGGAAGCCCCTTGTTCTTCTCTTACGAGAGAAGATAAAAAGGAGTACCCAGTTTAGCTGCACAAGTGGTTCTGTTTGTGCAAATTATAATCATGACACTACAAGAAGAATCATTTTAATTTTGCTTTTTGCGGTTCAGGAAGGAGGAAGAAGCAAGAGTCATCGCTACTGGCCTAAACTGGGCTCTAAGCACAGCTCAGCCACTTATGGGAAGTTTAAGGTGACAACTAAGTTCCGCACGGATTCTGGATGCTATGCTACTACGGGGCTGAAGGTCAAGCATCTTTTGTCTGGGCAGGAGAGGACAGTGTGGCACTTGCAGTATACTGACTGGCCTGATCATGGTTGTCCAGAAGAAGTCCAAGGCTTTTTATGTAAGATCCCTTAATTAATGCACACGTTTATGGTCAATGAACATGTTTAAGACCCAAGGGAGCATTGCACACTTTGTAGCTTCTGTCAGCCAAACTCACTGCACATGCCAGGGGCTCCTGGCGTCCCTCCTTTCCAGCCCAAAAGCTCCCTGTGTGCCATCCTCCTATCCCCCTGTATTTCAGGGGCTCTCTGTAACTTCCCCCCTTCTCCCCACTGCCAGTGGCTTTGTGTGCTCCTTGCCCCTCCATTTCCACTTCACCCCCATCCCAGGGTTTGTGTGCCCTTCTCATTGCAGGGCCCCCCATTCTTTCCCTCAAGGCAGACACTCTGTCTGCACCCCTTCCCCCATATTTCCCCTTTCCTCCCATGCTAGGGGCTGTCTTCAGTAATCTTAACTCCCTACCTGCCCAGGAGGTGTTTTAAGTATCGGACTGTTAAAGTGTGGGAGGTTTGGGTGAGAGGCAAAATTCTCAACCATTGTATTGACTTCTATTAATTCAGTACTGTTCCTTACTACTTTATGACTAATAAACACTTAAAATGCCAGTAATAGTAATGCTACCGTAATGACCCTAAGGAATGCATACCCGTTTTATTTAACTTTACAACTGGAGGGAGGAATATGCAAATAGACTTTTCAGCTTTGCCAAGGAAGTGACTCAGGGTATTATGGGTTAGTAATGGAGTTTTCACCCACCACTTTAAGTTGGGCTACTCCTGTTTCTCATTGTATTTCCAAGCTTTTTATTTATTTATTTATTTTTAAAAGGACAGTCTTCCAACATTCAACTGCAGCAATTGGGAAGCTGTAAAAATTGAAACCTAGCTGTTCATCGATACAGCTGGACATGGAGGTCATGATTCTCCACTGCTGTACACCTAATGGAATCACTTCTACTTGTGCAAAATAGGTGTAAAATGCCACCGTTCTGATTTTGCTTGCACAGGTGGGAAGGACTGCACAGGGTGCAGTATAATGGTGAATTAGGCCCAGAGACTTCATTTCTGCGGTTCAAACAATTCCTGCTGGAATAACCTTGGGAGAGACCCATACCCAGGTCAGAACCTGAGTGTCCTGGTTTGCATTGTGTTTACCCAACCAGCTGAGCCACTAGGATATCTGAAATGTTTATACTTTAATAAGCAAAAAGCCACTATTTTGGAGAGCATTAGAGCTAGACGAGAGGACTCTCAGAGACCCTTACACTTTACAGTAGTGATTACAGGAAAGCCACAGAGATCTGTGTCCAAAAAAAGTCCTAATACCTGCTGAAAAACAAACAAAAAAGTAGACACATGGTTGACATTCTCACTCATTCTACAAGGGAAGGAAAGAAAAGGGCAGATGGATGCTCACTTCCCATCCGCTACTGGCTCTGGCAGGCGGTAGTTTCAAGGGGACTTAGCTGTTGTTTTTGATCCCAGCCTGTTAATAGCAGGAATTGCTGTAAGTAATGTCTAGAATCATCTGCTTTGGGGAGCTAGGGATTTGCAGAGGGGAAAACAGAATTTAATTTTTTAAAAAGAACTATTTAATTTAAGGGACCAAACTCCCAAGTAATAATTGACACCCAGCTGGTACTCGCTGGATTCAGTGCTGTTCAGTACACAGTGGCCAAATAATTAGTGTCTTGTAGGAACTGTAAATTATTGTCACTTAAAAAGAAAACTGACTTTCTCATCAATTTTTCAACTTTTATGTGAAGCCATATAGGATTTTACAGCATAATTTGCATTTTATCTTACAGCCTATTTGGAGGAGATACAGTCGGTACGTCGCCATACCAACAGCGTGTTGGATGCTAGCAACAATTGCAACCCGCCAATCGTGGTTCACTGCAGTGCAGGTGTAGGGAGGACAGGGGTGGTTATCCTAACAGAACTGATGATTGGCTGCTTGGAACATAACGAAGTAAGTAAACTTCCCCCTTAATAATTGCTTTTCCCTTAGCTGGTCCATTGAATAATTTACTACATTTGTGTTGGGGCAAACTAGTCATAAAATATCATCCATCTCATTGCGTTAGTGTACCCAGACACAGTGAGCAGAGATTTGACACTAGCTGCCATATGTACCTTGACAATTTTGTAGGTATTGTTTTTATTTTTATTATTTTAATAAAGCACTGCTGAGATAGGACACTTGCCCCAAAGAGTTTACAATCTAAATTAAGATGGGTCTGTACCTGTCTTAATCAATCTGGAGACAGAACTGTGTAAAAGAGCAGATTGAGAGCCACTGGAAAAGTGTGCTGGGTTCCAAACCGGTTTGGACTATTGATTTAGTTCTCTAGCTTCTGTCTTCAGTGTCCTCTCTCTCTCTCTCTCTCTCTCTCTCTCACTTTCACTGTCTTTGGCTTCTAGACTGGAACAAAGCTCAGCTGTGACTCAAAAATAACAGGAAAAAAGGTTGATGGGCCACAGCCAGTATTATGAGACCTATTACACAGGCTGGCACTCTGTTAGACTATCAACAACATAAAAGTTACAGTATGTAACTACTTGTTGTTCTGCGTGTTCTTTGTCATTGGGGAACAGTGCAGCAAAAACACTACGTCCTGAAGAAAAATATGATGTTGGTGTACAATGCCAACCTCAGGAAAACAGCTATTGAAATGAAGGGGCTTCCTTCATCGAGTGAACTGCTGGAAGACTTTAATCCCTTGTGCCAGATCCAGCCTGCGGGCCGTAGTTTGCCCACACCTGTACGATAGCAGTCAGCATAGTCAGATCCCAGTATACCTGAATCTAGCACTAACCTGGCACTCTAACATGAACCAGTGATCCTTGCCGCAATGCCCCTTACGTGAGAAAGATGTTTGTAGTGTGGAAGGCAAAGCTAGTAATTGTTTTAATTCTGTATCTTACTAAATATCACCTTTACAAAGCATTATTAATCTCTCGTTGACAGATACACTGTGGTGGGTTTTGAATCCAAAGATTCCCCCATTCCTGGAATAAAGTGGTTAACTAAGCTCTCCTGAGATAGGTCGGGGCCGGCCTGTTGTACATCCTTGTAAGGCTGACTATAAATATAGATGTTAGATGTGTGCTCAGTGTTACACACACACACAAAATAGCTCTGAGATGAATCAAAGCCTGACCCATGTGGTGATGACACAGAAAGTGACTGATCACCAGATGTTATTGGCCCAGTAGAAATCAACAAACTGTCAAATGCTGAGACTGGAACTTGGGTTGTGCAGGCCCAAACTGGTTTGCTGCCGTCCCCCGCCCCCCCCCCCCCCCTTTTTTTTTTTTTTGGTCTTGTCGTTGTTCAGGCAAGTTCTGACATGGCTTGGCTCAACATGACCTAATTGCTTTTCTAACCATCACATTCCATTCTGAGGCATTCTGTGGTTTAGCAGTGTAAACCCAAAACAGGAGCTTATGCTCTCATCTACACAGATTTGAAAATAAAATGAAAATCCTCATCACAATTTCTACCCTTCTTGGTATTTATGTGCCATCTATAACTACTCTCCGGTTAGGGTTGCCAACCCTCCAGGATTGTCATGTGATGAAACCTCCAGGAATACATCTAACCAAAACTGACATCCCGTCTCCTGTAACAGCTCATTTGTGGAATGGCATAAATATGGCTCTACTTTAAAAGTTGTGATCACCGGTGTTGCCTGTGAACTGCACAGCCGTGCAGCAGTCTTGTATATATGGTGCAGGTCAGGCACCGCTGCTCTCATCTTCTCTGTGGTGGCTCCAGCAGGGATGTGGTGTAGTCCTTTAAGAACCTGTTCTGCTCACCCCACCCCACCCATGACAGAACTTGTGCAGGTGTGCTGCTGTGGGAGTGGAAGCGCCTCTGATCTCAGGGACACACTGGCTGGGAGGAGGCGGTGGCAGCTCTGGGGTGACCCTTGTGCAGGAGCTTAGGTGAGGGGGCCTGATTGGGCTCTGCAGTGTACTCACATGTGCACCCATGCACACACACAACACCCTCTTTGCACACCTCTCACCACACGCACAGCCCCCCTCCACACACCCGGACAAACCTCCCATACACATCCCTCACTTCAAGTGTAAGCTTGCCTAAGGACAAAAATATAGTGTCCAGTGGAGTTTGTAACCTGCTCAGTACAAAACAAACACACACAACATTTAGAGGGAACATTGGTGATCATGTCAGTTTGGGCTTATTTAATTAAAACTAGGGGCCTCCATCGTTTTACGTAAATACACAGAAATGTATATGAGAAAGTGAAACACTTTCTAGAAACAATTCCCATAATGCATGGAAACCACACTAGTTTCCTAACACAGAGAGCCTCTGGTGGCTAAAGGCTGAACCAATTATATCCCTGTCCCTTTGCCCTGACCTCATTCTCATAATGCTGCTGACTTCAGCCAAAAGATTTTTAGTTCGTTCCAACTTGTGCTTCTGGAATGAAAAGTATAGTATAGCATCGCTGTAGAGAGTCATGGGTTTTCCTCTTTCGGCATGTAAGAAACAACACACAGCTGTTGTTCCAGGAACCTGGAACAGGGTCCATAGTAATGTGGAGGTTGAATGCAAACCTCTTGGCTGTTATCGTCTTGAGGGTTCTTGCTAGTTTTATTCCCAAAATCATCCACATTCCACCCAAATTTGATGCTCCCCCCCTTGTTAATGAAAATAGTGTACATCAGAAATAATGAACCTGAGGTTATGGAAAGAATTATTTACACCAAATGAATGAATTTCTCAGTGCTTTAAGTTTCCTGCATGAATAGTACTTTGGTCCCTCAATTTGGGCCTTGGTAGTTTTGAGCGCAATAGCTCAATGATTTTTGAACTACTCCTCACATACCTGTTCTAACAAGTTACCTATGTTTTTTCTTCTTTTGCTCTCTCAATGCAGGCAATAAAATGCTAATACTTCATATATTTTCCAGTGAATTCTAATGCTTCATCTTGCAAGCCTCTCTGTGTTTCACATAATCTGGTTCATGTCCTGGCTTTGATAATTAAAGAAGGTCAGAGCTTCTCTGTCAAGTGTCGGGTTTCTGGGTCTTGTGGCCATTGCCAGTGACTTTCCTCTTTTTTGGCGAGGAACTGAGTGGCCTGAAAAGAGGGAGCAATAACTGCATCATACTGTCATGATATATTTGCCAATCCTTCCATTCCGGCCAGGGACCCAATATTGTTTGGACTCTTGGTTGCTTCCTGTGATTTGTAGAACCTTAATGTCCTTCCTCTATAAGTAAAATTGACCATGAATCACAGTGCAAATGGCTACTATGCCTGCATGCACAGTGGATGGCAGAGGGGAGTTGACTCAAGAAATTAAATTTTGATTATTGAAATTCTCCATTTTCCCAGCATATGACTTGTCAGGTAACATGACACAATTAGTTAATTTTGGACAAGCTGAGTGTGGCTATATTTAACAAGAAGCCACCAGGTAGGATTTTAAGAGATTGCTCAGTTTCCTGAATAACCTTTCACTACACACACTCAATCAGTGGTACCATATGCGGTAACAGTAATATATAGCTGGAAGACACCAGGTGTTCAGTGTTAAACCTATTGAAGTTAATGTTAAAATTACCACTGACTTCAGTGGAAGCAGGATTGGAACCTTGGTATCCTTTCATAGTGTGTATAATATACATGTATATTCCTTGCTATAATGTGGAAGGTAAGGCCAAAACTATAAATGAGTTATCTTTGTTCTTTCCTTACACTTAGTCAAAGGAGGGTTCTGGTGATGTTGGGTTTGATTAACACACAGCCTCACATCTTTGTCACCTTCACTTTCCAGAAAGTGGATGTTCCGGTGATGCTGAGACACCTACGGGAACAGAGAATGTTCATGATTCAGACCATCGCTCAGTACAAATTTGTCTATCGTGTGCTCATCCAGTTCCTACAAAACTCTAGACTCATTTAATCTCCTTAGAGATCCCAGACGCAGTATTGTGGATTGGACTGAACCTTATTGACAAGACAGACACATTCCTTTGACAAACGTGTCTTTTATCATGGTGTGCAAATATTGCACGTGCTCAAGTTGCCTCAAAAGTAAGGAGTCCTTGTTCTTCCGTAGAGAGTACCACAAATTATTTTGTACAAGGTAATTTATTTTTCATGGAATAACTTCTGAATTTCTTTGAACTTGTAAAACTTGTGGTGAGGTTTGAATTGACATAACTGATCTGCGTTGCCAAGTGTCCATAGCGAAGGTGATCCTCTCCAGGGGTGTTCTGTGGACCTGTATTCTGTTATATGGTTTATGAAACGAACAGGTCTTCAGGGAATGGCTTTTTTCCAGTAAGAACATTTTAGAGCCAATTTTGTGGCTTTCACCATGAAAACAAGACCTGCTAAAAGCCAGTTAAGACTTTGTAATGGGCCAAATATGATGATAAATATAGAGAAGATACAATGCAGAGAACCCAAAACATGCATCCATAAATGAATAAATGGATGGAAGCATTACAAAGTAAGCAGTAGGGTATTTCAGGCAGGAAAGCTGGGTGTGTGGCATTACCCCTTGGCTTGAAGTGGTTTCCATCATATACAGGGTTTACAGTTTTGTTCAATGGTTCTCCGCACCCCCACTATAAAAATTGTTCCAACACCACTATAGTCAGGTGTACAGAGACCACAGATGTTCAAAATTTGGCAAGAATTACCATTGCAGCTTAGTACTTGACAAGAAGCCATATTACACCTTTGTTAATATCCACCAGCCTTTGATCCCTTCCTAGATAAAGAGCTGTGATACTCTTGCTAGGGCCCTGAACCCAACCACGTTGTAGTCAGTGGGAGTCTTTCCATCAACCTTAGTGGGCTTTGGATTGAGCAATAGAAAAATGTCAGCCAACTGCAGCCCAGAAAATAGAAGTCAGACGTTATGTTCTCACAAATGACTAACCCTTTCATTGTTGTCACAAAGCCAAATCCCACTCACCTTATTTAGGCAAGGAATGTCATTAAGGTCGAGACATCTCATCTCCAATCGCAGAGTTTTGTTTTCTGCGCAAATGGTTCTCAGTCACTTAGATGGTTTACTTTCTAGCCCTTCGTGCAGTGCCCGTGATCTGTGCTCTCTGACCTATATCCCTGTGTTCTGTTTACTATCCTGGCTGCTGCCAAAATAGTGAGCTGAAGTTTTTCGCTTACAGACTGCTCCTGCCCTCAGATCCTTTCCCAGTCCATGTCTCGCAGTTTGACCATATCACACACCAGCCCTTCTGGCACTGGCAAGCTTTATTTCTTAGCTTTCATTCCCCCCACCCGGCCCCCTGCATTAAATTGCAGAGGCCATTTGCCCACTCCGGTTACCATTTTTATCCCAGGTCTCTTTGTATCCTTTCTCTCCTTTTATTTATATTCCAGTAGCCACTGAAGGCCCCAGTCTACTACGTCACATAAGGAGAGAAAATCCCTGCCCCAAAGAGTTTACAATCCGAATAGACAAGACAGACAGATGGGGAGAGCAAGGAAGTGTTGTTATCCCCATTGTACAAGTGGGGAGGTGAGGTACAGCTACTTAAAGTGACTTACCCAAGGTCACACGTGAAGTCTGTGGCAGGAGACGTGGGTTCCATTCGTGGCTCTAAATCCCAGGCCAGAACCTTAACCACCAGACCATCACTTTCCTCTCTTTTCCCTCTGCCTTCCCTTGAGACTGGCTGACTGTTCCACATCCTTTGTGCAAGTTCCCTCCTCTAGATCATTCATTTATTTCACTGAAGCCACATGTTCACTGTGGATCACTTTGTCCAAAAGTGATAGCTGCTGTACTTAAAAAAAAATGTAATTAACAGTATAGCTGGGCGGTGCTGACTCGTAAAAAACCAAAGCCTCCATATCTTAGAAAACTTAGTACAATGGGTCAAATTAAAATCCAGTGTAATGTACTGAGCTCAGTGAAACTGCATTTGCTTTCATCAGCTCTCAATTTTAGCCCCATATGACTGACCGCCCTGATCTTGTAGTGCAGTCTTCATGATGCACCCCCACGGCAACCCCCAGAAGCCAGGGGCAGGAGTCCACTTGTGTACATCACCCTGCAAGGCCCAAGCAGGCTTTGCTTGAAAGACCAGAAAACATTAAAGAATCCAGACATAAATGTGGTTTCAGTCAAGGGTTTGCTTTAAATGTATGCTAGCGACACTCTGTTACAACACTTGTGAAAGAAATGGATGGAAGAGCATTTTGAGTCTGGTATAGTCACTTGGCAGTACTTTTGATGGGGCGATTTTCTGTTAGTTTTGAGCAGAAAAAAGGAAGCTTAACTTTAAAAAGTCTACTCAGGCCGTTGCTATTACCTGACTGAGCTTATACAATGTACAAATCAGGGCCAAATCTCCCCCCCCTTCCAAAGGACACATTTACTGCTGTCATCTGTGTTTTATTTGCTTTATCCTGGCTAGCCATGACCCATTATATAGCTTCCACTTATCTTACTCTAGAAACAATCTAAACTGGATGGGTACATAGTGACTGTAGGTGGGTTTAGAGCCATGCTCCCTAACCCCCTATTCTGGAAACACCCACTGTAGTCCAGCAAGCAGAGCCTGCGGTGTGTCAACTTTATAGGAGAGCCAGGATTAGGGTGAAACATTGCACTCAGTATGGTCACCCCCAGCTGCTGCTGACTTTGGCAGCCAAATGTAAGCTCTTCTGTTTGTTCTGATTAAAGCTGTTTGCAAAGGCCACATAATTGTTTTAAACAAATGGTTAAAGGCTCACTCCTACAAGATTCTGAGTGCCCTCAACTTCAGTTGGGAGTTGAGGACACTCAGACCAGATCCTCAAAGGTATTTTAGATACTTAACTCCCATTAGGCACCTAAATAAATACCTTTGAGGCTCTGGGTCTGAGTGCCTTACAGATGTTGTTTATGCTGGTAGCTTGGCATTTACAGTAACATACTAGGGTGAAAGCATAATGGTGAGAAAAGAAAAGACAGGTTTCAGTTTCAAGCCACCAAAGGATGGTTAGGAAAAAAAAAATATAGACCTAGATAAACTATCTTGATATTATGTTTAAGAATCAGTCATCTTTAGTTTTCCTCTCATGCCTTCTGCCAGTGCCAACATCTCTCTTGTTAAATTAGCAGCAACCATTTAAAGTCTTTTCAGTGGCATCTGCATGGTAATTGCACAGAGATGCTTTATATCTGGGAATCAGGCCAAGGAATAAACCTTGAAGCAAAGTGTATTAAATTAGTTATCTCGTTATAGCTTTTTGAATAATTTCCTAATGATGAATTAAGTTTGAACTCAGCGCTGTCAAGTTCCATTGCTCCATTTGGATTTGAAAGGTAGAAAATCAGAAGGGAAAATAATTGTTCCTAGGTCGTCTTAGTCAGGTATCTTGGCGGAAATGTATATGACTACTGCTACTTTGGATCTTCTGTAAGCACAGGAAAAAAAGTTATGAGAGAGCATAAATAGCTGTGTTAAAAAGGAAGAAAATTCAACACCATTGTCGTTACGTGGCTTTTTGTAGTGCAAAGGCACATTATAGGTTTCTTAAAAAAAAAAATAATAATTACAAAATGGCACCAAAAGCCTTTCAACATTAGCAATAGGTGCCTATTAATGAGCCAGATAGATGGTCACATAACAACCACTTTCAGTTGGCTACTAAAATGGTAGCTGGAGTTTAAGGTGACTCACTCTTTCCCTTTTATTGAAAGCTTGGTAATTTTAGACTTTTCCTTTTGTCTGACTTCAGTGTATTTTTCCTGCTAGATTTTATCTTGACTAGATCAGCTAGTATCTTAGATGAACTGAGATGGTGTATGTCTCCAGAGCTTCCTCTCTAGTCCCATTTGTAACTGTAACTTCATCATGCCAGGGTTTTACAGTTGAGAGGGGTGAATCTACTCCATATTGTAGAGGGAAAACGGAATATTCTGATGCTGAAGGACTGCAGCTTTATCACACCCAGGTTCTTTGGAACATATTTTCTTCACCTTAAGGGAAGGACAGGAATAAGCATTTTCTATCCAATTTCATTTGTTACAGTAGAAATGAAAGCATGGGACTTAAAGGAACAGTATCTTTTCATTTCTCTCCTACGGTTTTAGCATCTGGGTCTTTTACAAGGAAAAGGAGAATGAAAACTCTAGTTATATTGGTGGTTTTCATGCTGTATTCACATCAAAGCATGGGCAATGGGTAGTTTGCAAGAAACCACTTTTAAAGCACCAACTCCCACAAATTGAACTGCACAGCTACTTGAAGCAGTTCTGAACACTAACTCCAAATAGACTTCTTCCAACTCTTGCCAGTTTCTATCTGACACACTCACCCATGTTATATCCCTGTGGATGTCTTATGCTCCTTCATCTACTTCATAAAAGGGAATTTTAAGTAGATCAATAAGCCTGCATTCATTTTTTTCTAGATAAAATGTTACTGTTTAACAGCCATAACTTTTGTGGTTTAATATTAAACACATTGAACTGCTAATAGTTAACATTGACCCCAAATTCCATAGTACCCAAGTCCCCAGCTCATGGGTAGAGTTCATGCTCTTAACTATATATAGGTCAGGGATGGGGAAAATGGCTTTGCTAAATTTAGAATTCACTTATAAATAGTTTGATCAGAACTTATGGAGTTCTGAAGTTTGCATTCCACCGCACTTTGCGGCGCAGAAGGGATGGAGCTCTGCCCAGTGCCTGAGGCTCATCTGCTCTGTCCCTGGCTGCCTCAACTGACCTGCCACAACACGCCATGCCAGCAGCTGGCTGCTGTCTCTGCAGGAACCCTAAACATGAGGGTTTCCTCTGATGATTTGAAGGTACCGGCTGCAGAATTTGGGGCCATTTTGCCATGCATATAACTGGTAGATGGGCATGTGACCAGGCACAAGTAGGGCAGGGCAGGGCGAGACTCTGCATGCAGGAATACCCAGCTTCACAGTCTGATACAATGCTCTCTAGTGGGCTGGAAATTGAGTTACATCCCCTTGGGCACTGGCGAGGTCCCTAAGCACTGAATGGGGTTTCAGAGTTAGTGGAATATAGTCTTGAGGCTTTCATACTAAACCTGATGTAACTTTGTATTGTAGGTGGTACATTAACAGTGGTCAGATGTTGTTTGATTTGTTTTGGATTGAGAGGATAGCAGACTGTGGTTATTCTTTCACTAATTTCACCTGCTCACATTACTAATGCAGTCCAGACATTTAAACCAAATTCATTGAAGGACACTTCTGCCCCATTAGCTGTGGCTTATTTATCTGTTGTCCCAGCTCCAAGTATCATTCAGTATTTATAGAATTAAAAACATTCTGGACTTAGAAGCCGGACGCTTTAGGGTAAATTCTTGTAGGAAGTTTTGTTTAACTTTTGTTTTAACGTCAACTGTTATTTACCAGACAATGTGTGTGTCAAAAATATATTTATATTCATCCAGTTCTTCCAGCAAATAAAACCATAACATGCTCTACCTGAAACCACTATAAAATTCCCCACCCTATCCATGCATTTGCCAGTTGATCAGTATTTCATTGTATACAAAGGATAGCCTTTCTGCATCTGATGCATATGCAACTCTATTGTGCGCTTTACAGGCACAAGAAATGCAGGACTGTGCACCTTGGCAGCAAATGGAAATTTAGCAATATACCAGCAGCCCTAATTGAACAATCCCAGCACCATTTCGAAATAGTGGAAATAAAACTAACATTTCTAAAAACAAATAAACTCTTTAAAATTTGCAATTTATTTTAATGTCAATATTCACCTATCTAGAGCCTCAGTTCAGCACTCCTTATACAGGTAAGAGTCCTAAGCAGCTCAGGAGGACTGGTGCCTGAGTGAAATGGAGAGGAATTGATTAGAATTTAATAACTGCAGTTTTTCTTGCAAAGATCCATTCTCTTGCTGCTATTTTTTAAAACAAATCAACAAAACTAGAAGCATTTTGTTAATGGGATAATTGGCCTGTTGAGGTTGTGCCTTATAGAAGACATTTTCCCCACTAGTAAAGTATCTTACTGTTGATATTTTTCAAAGGAAAAAAAGTTTACACATGTATAATTGTGTGGGACATATGTTACATAACATGTTACATTAGTTTTACATCACTGGACGTTCTATTTTACTTCAGTATTTCAATGCTTGCTTTTGTATTTGTTCTGTAACTCTGTACATTACAGTTAAGTCCAAGACAATGATTTAACAATTTCTCAGCCTCATAGTATGTATACATTTTGTAGACAATTGAGGTCAATTTCCACACCCCCACCCCTTTTAATTCAAGATGAATGGCATACTCATTTTATACTATTGAAAGTCTTTAAAAAAAAACTATGCATGCTATTTTATATTTTAATGTATATTATTCATATCAGTACATAAGCTTATGCTTATCAGTTTTATCTTGTGTATAAAACTGATTACTTTTGACAGTATTTTTGCACTGTTTCTCTTCTCCTTATAAAAAGAACTATTCAGCATTAGATGACTGCAATAACTTTTTTACATCTTTCACTGCCTTTGTGTAAATAGTTTCCTATATGCCTTTTCGGATGTGAGACTCATGACTCACTAAGCTTTTTTTGTAAAAGACTGTCTATCCTTTGTATTCATAGTATGCAATAAACTTTTTTCGCCCCCCCCCTCCCCCCGAAGGAAATTCACTTGTTTTTCTTCCTGTCTAGCTTAAGGTTTTAAACTTGCACCCTTCACTGCAGTATTTGAACCCCTCCAATGTTTCTTAGGTTGACACACCAACGGCCTTAGTGGATGGACTTCATAGAATTTTCTACTCTTCTTCCTTCCCTGACTGCTGCTTGGGATAGGATTATAAACATTGGTAGTAGTTGTCAACATCATTCCAGTTATGGTGAGAAAGCGCTATCAAAGAGAGGTACTGTAGCAGTTCCTGGAAGTCGTTACACAGGATTAGTCTAATCTTCTCGTGCTCAGAGTCAAGAGCAGCGGAGCGGAGAGGAGAGATGGCGTGTCAGCCTGCATTGTGTGTGTCACTTTGTGGATTTTTCTGTCAATTAAGGCAGCTTACGTCGATCTAACTTTAAGCATCTACACTAAAATGTAGCTCCTACTGATATAACGCGCTCGCTACACTGATTTAACTCCACCTCTTAGGTCGACGTAGTCTCAATGTAGCCCTTCGGTTGATGTAGCTGCAGATGCTGTATTGCTTACATCAACAGTTAAATCAGTGCAGGTGCTCCTGGTGAGGACATGCACCACTGACACAAGGAGTGTAGTATGGATATGCAAAAGCAATTTAATTACTGCGGTGGTTGTAAGCCGATTAACTTACATGGACTTAATTTTGTCATGTAGACTTTCAGAAAGGACTTGAAAAACTTGGTGTGGTTAGCCCTTCCTGGACTGGAGAAACAAGCCTGCTTACACAGGGTGGAGAATGAAGGCAGATAATCAGCCCTGGAACTGAGGGGAAACTGAGGCAGCAGCTAGCCTGAAGCCAGACTGGGTAGGTGGGGTGCTGCTACAAAATAATGACCATCTCTGATTTCTCATGCCCGCTCTGCAAGCTGTAAAAATGGTACAGTATGTTTATGTAATTTAACTCCATACCTGATTGACTTTAAATGACAGGTTTCAAAGTAGCAGCCGTGTTAGTCTGTATCCGCAAAAAGAACAGGAGTACCTGTGGCACCTTAGAGACTAACAAATTTATTTCAGCATAAGCTTTCGTGGGCTACAGCCCACTTCTTCGGATGCATAGAGTGAATGTGTAACTAAGAGGGAAAGGGAGCCTCCTGGATTCTTAAAGACAGCCAACCCATCCCCCTCTGTCCAGCCTCATTTAAAAACAAACCCCATGTTTCAATTTGAGTTTCTTTTGGATTCTTCTGGAGGTGGGGAAGGGGGTGCAAGTTGGTCTCCAACTCAGCAACTAACAGACAGGGATGTTCTGGCTCCTCTGGCGGCAGCTCCCTGTAATATGGTGGAGACAAAAGGGCTTCTCTCTAACAAGGCAAGGCGTGTCCACTTCAGACCAGCTCACTTTACCCCGCCAGTGTCCCTGGTACAGGCTCTCTGCAGCCAGGTACTCCCCAGCCTAAGCCTGTCTATGGAACCCTGTGAAGGCAGGGTTCCAAAATCGCTAGGGGATAATAGCAGCAAGTTATGGCACCTTCCCTTGTGGGTTCAGCATGAAGGCGAATCCAACTTCATCACCCTCCAAACCCATGGAACTGAAACCTTAGCCCCTGGCCTATGCTAGGTTAACCCCTGTGACACAGGGTGTAGTCCAGCTTATGTCCCCGAGTGGACAAAGGCCTATATGTGCTACCTCTATAGAAGCTGCTACTGTGCCTACAAACACTCTGAGTTGAAGTACATTGGGGTGGGAGCCTACAACAATTCCTCTTAAGCTCAATGTTTTTGAAATGGAATAAAATTGGTAGGAATAGAGACATTTTCAAGCTCCTAAAGAAGAGTACTGGAAACAATGGATATACGAAAAGTAGCTGCTCAAAATATTTAATTCTTCAGAGAGTAAGAGAAAATTTGTCACAAAATTAGGGCAAGCACAAAGCAAACAAGTAGGGCCATGACAATGTACCACTTTTATTTACTTTACACAGCTAACACATTAAAATTTGTAGAGGAAAAAAATTAGTCTTCTGCACATGAGCTGTCCAAGGCATGAACTGTATGAAACCATGACATTTCCTTTTTAAAAAGCATTTGAGAATTTGCAAAGGCTCAAGATGTTTTGCATAAGCCTTAGAGAATGCAAGATGCAAGTGCACAACATGTTTGTCATGCCACTTATATTACAGAAGTGCTTTCATAAGAGCGATTTTCAAAGGACTCTTGTAGGTTTGGTAGCAAGGCTTTTAAATAAAGGTAGAAGGACTGCATAGATTCAGAGGCTCAGTGGTCCTTGAATTCGTTTTTGATCTCTGAAATGTATGGATGATCTTTCCCGTGTGCTACTTCCATAATAGCAATTGCCTGTGAAAGGAAAAAATATTCACATAATTGATTCATAGTTAGCATTAGGCTAGAAGTATTCTCCTCAGGGGTATGGAACGGTGACACCTCTTGCTATTATCCCTTTAAAGTTATCTACTCCATAGGAAACCATATGAATTTCATTTTATAGAATAAGTTTTACATTCATACAGCACTTTTCATCCTGAAGGATCTCAAAGCATTTTTCAAAACTATGTACATACAGCGCCACTGGAAATGCTGCCAAATCTAAGATTGAAAGCTGCAAGCTAGGGAATAGAGTAGGGCAGGGGTTCTCAAACTTCACTGCACCGCCACCCCCTTCTGACAACAAAAATTATTACATGACCCCAGGAGGGGGGACTGTAGCCTGAGCCCTGCCACCCTGGATGGGGGAGCCAAAGCCCGAGCCCCACCATCACAGGCAGAGGGGGCAGCGAAAGCCCAAGGGCTTCATCCCTGGGCAGGGGACCTATAACTTGAGCCCCACCACACCAGCCCTGGAGACCCCATTAAAATGGGGTTGTGACCCACTTTGGGGTCCCAACCCACAGTTTGAGAACTGCTGGAGTAGGGAATATTTTGACAGATGTTCCAGAGCGATGAGTTCAACTCCTCTCCTATACCCAGGGTAAATTGCCTGGAACCCAATTTATTTCATCTCAGCAAGTCAAAAGGGCTTCAGTGAACATAACATGATCAGATGTTTCAAGCCTGATGCCTTAGACCACTAAGCCACTCCCACCAGTACATAATCAAGTAATCACACCACACATCAGAAAGGAAAATAGTGCTGAGACTTAAGCATTTATGCTGCAATAAGATGTAGAGGCTCTACACAGGATTGGGGCCTATTGTATAAGGTGATCTACACTCTCCATCTGAAGACACACCGCACCCCCAGGAGCTTAAAATCTAAAACTGTGGGTAGACAAAACCAATTGGTGCTATTGACAGTGTCCAAACTGCTTTAGAGTATGTGTATTACACCAATGGAAAAATGGGGTTTTAAAGTGATAATTGAGGGAGACTATCCATCCGTCAAAGAGTAGCAGAAAAATAAGTAGCCTTAGGTGCAATAGTGAGGACAGAGAAGAAAGTGAGACTGGAGAAGTGGAATGCATAGATATGTGGGTGGAAACAGTCAGTGGAGAGTTTAAGACCAAACTTTGCCAAGGACAGAAGCCACCATGGAGTCAACGGTTTTCAACAAAATCTAAAGACAGGGCCATCTTCTTGGATTTGACCACTGCTTATGACACGGTTTGGTACACAGGTCTTCTGTGTAAACTCTCTCGAGTTGCCCTGCCTTGGGTGGTCAAAGTAGTAAAGCTCTTCCTCAAAAACAGGTGGTTCAGAGTCCACATGGGTGATGGTTGCAGTTCCTGGAAGTGTCAGATTAGTGGACTTCCTCAAGGTTCCGTTCTTTCACTAATACTGTTCAATGCGTACATCGATGACTTGCCAGCAACACATTCACACAAGTTTATCTATGCCAATGACATTGGCCACAGCTAGCACACTCAATCCTCCTCAAATTGACATGGTCCTGAATGAGAATATGAAGCTCATGGCAGACTACTGTAGTCTGACACCTGCAGCCAAGCTTTTCCGGTTTCTATCACATTTTATCTGCATAATGCAAGCCCATGCCATGAGTTAAATATTTTCTTAAATATCCAACGCCTGCAGCACAACCCAAACCCTGTTTACCTCAGCATGACACTGGATAGGTCATTGACGTACCACAACCACTTGAAGACAGCAGCCAAAGTTAGCCCTCGGAAAAACTTGCTCAGAAAACTGGCCAGCTCAACCTGGGGTGTGTGTCCAGATGCTTAGAACATCAGCCCTTGCCCTCTGCTATTCAACAGTAGAGTACTGTGTTCCTGTCTGGTGTTGCTTGTTTCACACGAGGCTGGTCGACGTAGAGCTTAAAGCTATGCGCATTGTTACTGGGACTTTGCGTGCAACTCTGTTGCCATAGCTGCCAATACTTAGTAACATAACACCACCTCACATTCACTTTGGGGATGCCTCCATGATGCTCCTGGCCAAGATCAGAGAGAACAGCAACTTGCCTCTGTACTCAGACCTCTTCAACCACCTTCAACTCTTTGCATGTCTTATAGACGCCCTTTTTGGTCACTTATGCCACCACAGGACCTGACTGTGGAATCTGCTTGGCATAACAAGTGGGCAGTGATGATGGTCATTAATCATGCTCTTGTTACTGACCCAACCACCTGCCCACCAGGTTTTGACCAAGGCACCTGTGGGCATTCCTGAACTGGTTTTGAACAGGACTGGGCAATTGTGCAGCCAATCTTTTCAAATGGGGTTTCTGTAATGACCCGCAATGTAGATGTGGTCAACTTCAGACTGTTGCATATCCTTGACGCGTGCCCGCTGACTTAGAATGCGGGCTCCCAGTTCTTCACCGGGCTGGTGACAATGCTATCAAATGGCTGGGCACACTGTGCATAGCCTGAGAGACCATGGAGTAAGAGCTCACAACATCTTAGAACCCATTTTACCGAGGGAATATTGAATAGGATTATCCCCTACTGTTGGCTTTAGAAGATTTAACTTCCACGTGAATAGCAACAACGACCCGTGCGTTCCCATCTCACTCAAAGGGTGAACTCTACAGATCCCATCTGAGCTATTTCCAAAGAGATAGGAGAAGACAATTGTTTTGTTTTTCTAATAAGCCTCAAGAGTATCTGGGATGCTTTTGCCAGTGTGTTCAAGTGTTCCTGGAGGCTATTTTTGGAAATTAAACTTTAGAAAAATATATTTATGTTGGGAAACTGACTGCCAACAGATCTACCTGCACTGTTTGTATTCTGACCAACATTAAATTGTTTAAAAAATACATTTAAAATATAATTTATGCAGGCTCTTGTAGGCTGGAGGTGTGCTTTAATACTGGCTCAAGTCTGTCTTACCTAAAAAAACCTCTACAAAAATCAGGGAATTCCAGACCAAAGTAACAAAAAATCATTGAGGTTAAGGAAACCAAAAGGGTATTTACTTGTATCAAAGAGGGTACGCATCCAAAAACAACCGGGGGAAGAAAGGATCATGAAACACACTACAGATTAGTAATGGGAGGAGAGGAATCAAAGAAAAATGTGAAGGGTTTGCTATCACAGCACAATATAATCTATCATATGCATTAAAAATTCAACCCACCTAATGAAAATTAATCTGCCTGTGTCTTATTCCAGAATGAGTGAGAGCCAGAAACATGTTCAGTTTTTGAGCAACTTAACAATATATGAACCATAGAAATAAAGTGTGTGATGTTTCAGGGGCCAGGACTGGGGGCGGGGTGGATGGAAGGAAGAGACATAGCTCATTCAACAAGCATGTAAATGAAATGCAACTGCACCTACAGTTACTTCTCTAGCTGAAGTGGAACTCTGACTCAATGAAGGGCATAGGCAGGGAATATGACATACATACATACGATTTTGCTTCTGAAGTATTAAAGTTAATTGTGAAAAGATCAGGAAAGACCTGCTTTGCATAACAGACAGTGAAATGATGTAACAGCAGTTGCATTGCATCTTTATAACAAACACACGTTGAATTAAGGAAAGGATGAAAATCAAGTAACTAAATACAAGGCATGATAAGTTTTCTAGCAAGTCATTCATTGTTAAGAAATGGTAACACTTCAACGAGCACGTGCCTAGCTAAAATTGCTATAGTTACTGGGTAAGGGTGGAAATACCTTTTTTAGAGCTTTAACTCCAGCAGTTGTGTTTTCAAGTCCCATATAAAGCCTCCCTAACTTCAGCCACATGGAGGCAACGTTCAGAGAGTATAACGGATAATGCTTACTGCGAAAGAAAAACTTGGCATAATCAGATCCTGCAAAAAAAGTTTCCACAATATTTCCCCACAACCCCTCTCCCTGGCTCTAGGTGTGAGAAGCTGGCTCATTCTCCCTGCCCCTTCAATCCTTGCACTCTCTGCTGTGGCTGCCATGAGTTAGTATCTATTGTTTGTGGGACTGAGATCACAACATTAATTTCACCCACCCCAGGCCTCTGAACAGGTGGCAGTGACTTACAGTCACTGGATTTAGGGTGAAAAGCTCTGCATCATTACCAATTCCCTGAGCCACCCCCGCCCCTAAGCACTAAGGATTCTTCTTATTCCCAAGGCACACTGTCAGCACTGCGTGTATGGGGGTGGCTGAGGGGGTGTACAGAATATGTATTTGGAATGCAGCTCTGCAGTTGCAGCAAAGTAAACTACAAACTGCAGGAGCTAGGTTCAGCAGCTGACCTGGAATGCCAGGCTCCGAGCCAGTGGAAGCTGGGCAAGTCACAAGGATGATAAATACTATTCAGCCCCCGGGGAGAAAGCGAGCGAGCCAGCACAATCACAGCTCCCTGCCAGCTGACCCAGGACTTTACACTGGCATCCAAAGGGAGAGGTTCACTTGCACTCCCTCAGCTGCAGAACAAATTACACCTTTAGATTAGAATTTCCTGGGGAGACCTGTGGCAGGGTCAGACCCACGCGCAATGTACTAGCTGTCACAAGCTAGGGAAGCATGGCCCAGAAAAGAAACCGAACAACAGAGAGAGATTCTTTGTTTTCCTCTCAAAGGTAACATCTGGGTGGCGCTAGCTGTGCTGCACTGCCCTGTCCCGGTGCAAGAGCCCTGAAGTTTGCACATTCTCTCAGGCTCTTGCTCCAAGGGAGAGGTAGCCAAGAGCATCAAGGACTTGACAAGCTCAGTCTGAGAATCAGGAGGAGCAGAGTTCAAGCTCCCTCTGCTGCCCAGTCCATTCAATGGGAAAAGAGCCTTGTTGTAGCCATTTACCACAGGGGGTGATGAATGAAGTGAACCAACAGGACGACTGGAATCTCTATTAATATGCAAGGACCAGGATATTAACTACAGTATTCAGACAGGGTTAAGATTAAAAAATTACTCTTAGGCAAACTATCAATACAATATTAGAGATGAACACATGTTTCAATAACTAAGCAAGATTAGTACAGTCACCAATATAAGGAAAGACAGCTGGGGGTGTAAACAAGTCCTGCAATTCTGTGGCAGCAATTTGCAGAAAGCCAAGTATTGTTAATACCTTGGCCCTATTCTGATCAAGTAAACACTATCTGAATCTGGACCTGCATTTCATTCTAAACAGGCCACAAACATTCACTACTGTACAGTCCATCTATATACAATGTGCAGTCAGATTAATGATGCCTGCCCCTATGTTTTGTTTAAACATGTGTTCAACTTACTGCATTATGTAATTAAAAATAAAAGCTCCTAAGTTTACCTGTATGGTTTGATAATTTTTTCCCCATAGCGCAATGCACCATCCCAGTCTTGCATGTACAGACAGACTCCCATGGCCTGATACATCATATGCAGCATATAAACATTACTGTCTTCAAACACGGAGCCCATCTTGTCCAGACTAAGCTCACAAACCTCCAGTAATTCACTAGGAGGTTCAGTGGAGTCAAGGAACACATTAAATGAGTGGTTTCCAACTACATACCTGTGTTATATGGCTTGAGGATACCCACCTTATGGTTGTCCAGTAAAGAATGGTTTTGAGAAGCTTTTCTTTAAGTACAGCTCTTCTTTGAAAAAGGGACTATTAAAAATGGCATCAAGGGGTTCCAGGTCTCAGCAACTCCAGATCAAGTGTGCTCAGTTTGCATGTCCCCCGCCCGCCCCAATTGTCAGATCTGCAAACCCGGCCTTGAGACCAGAGTGGTTTTCTTGCACCAGTGCTGGTGTACTTTGGGGGGTGGGAGGTGCAGTGCAGCGTGGCGGCAGTGGCTAGTGAAGAGTGGAATTTTCCACAAGTCTTGCAGAATTGCCCATCCATGCATCAAGGCTGAGAAAAGGATTGGGTCACAGGGTATGGGGGACTACAAACCGCATCTGGCCACAGGGGGATATAGCTACACCTCCTATTTCAACATCTCTCCCATAAGCTTTCACATCCTCTACATAAAGGTCTCATGGCCATGCTCTACAGTGAGTGATGGAAGTTATTTCTTCTTCTGCCTCCAAAAGACTAAGCACGACCATTTCGCAAAGAGCCCGTGCTACTTCTGGACCCTAGCCTACTCCATGGCAACACACAAGTATTCCTGCTGAAGTGGATAACAGCAACTGAAGAAGCAATGCTTTCAATTTCACAAGTAGATGAACACCAAGGATTTGGTGTTGAGTGCTACTCTGTCCCTAAAACACCCAGCACTTGTGACTGCAGACATCTAGATTGAAGTCTTGGCCTCACTGACGTCAATGGTAAAACTCCGATTGACTTTAGTGGAGCCAGGATTTCATCCATAGACTATTTTTAATAATAGCTGGTGGGAACTATTTTGGCACTGCACAATTTTTTCATTGACGTGTGAACTGAAAGCCTCTATTACGCAGAGAGGCAGTGTGGTCTAGTGGACTGAGCATACGACAGGAACTCCAGTGTTCTAATCCTGGCTCTGTCACAGACTTGCAAGTTGGCCTTGCTGCATCACCTTTCCATGCTCCAGTTGATCCAAGGGATAAGACAGTACTTGTCTCCTTCCCAGGGGCGTTGTGAGGATTAGTATTTGCAGAGCACTTTGAAGAGCTCTGGAATTGCACACACATTTCTCTCTTGCACACACCCTTCTGAGCATTCCAAGAGTAATTTTTAAAGGAAACAATTTAAGTTTCATAATCTACAAATGTTATACAAGACCACCCCTCAACTCACTATTCAATGGTATTTACCTGTCATTTCTGGTCTTCCCTCAATTTCTATAGTAAGACCAGCTTGTCCTTAGTGTGACCATTAGATGATCTTATGTTTGGGTCTGCTCTGTGCACCTCTCTCACCCAGGATGTCAGGTGGATGGTTAAACTGCTCAAGCAAGCTTTTTGTTTTTAAGATTAAAAATACAAACAAACTCCATCTAGTTTTAAAAGCCTTTTGAAGGGTTTTCCTCCATGGCTCTATTCCATGCTTATTTTGCACTAGCAAATGCAGATCCCAGTCACAACCAGGGAATGGTTCTGTGCAACACACATGAAGACACAATCCCTGCCTTGAAGAGTTTACAATTTAATTAATCAGTGGAAACAGATTTCTGTGGGCCACACCTATCTCCTCTGCTGCAAAACCAGGCTCAGCGTGCAGGGTGGGACGCTCAGCTGAGTTTTATTTTTACAGATGCTTGCAGCTGCTGCTCTGCAGAGGTGCTGCAACCCCGTGTTGGACAAGCACAGAGACCCCCCCCTGATTAAGGCCTCGTAGCCACTCCTTCCAATGTTTAAAATCAAGACTATTCTATCATTAAATCTTCAGACCTTACATGGCCCTTGACATTGCTGAGTTCAGCTAGGGAGACCCTTTAACATCAACCACCGGCCCCTACTACCGCCACATCCACGGATTCTGGTGTCAAGTCTCCAGATAGTCTCAACGGCTAAATTGTCACATGTGACAAATTGGGGCAGCTGCAGCCAGAGGGCCAAATCCAGACCTGGTATAAAGGGGTGAAAGTCCATTGAGTGCACCCAGGGCTGAGGCTGGCTCAGATGTAACACTTTAAAAAAGCAACAGACACAGACTTGGCAACTTCTGGCGGTGAGCAATTAGCCAAGCCATACAGGCTAAGGGCCACAGCCACTGCGGTCCATTGGACTGGTCCTTAACTTCAGGACAGTAAGACAAGACTCTCTGTAAATAGTATCACTAACCTTCCTAACTGCTTTGACATTTTAAGGGCTTTAAAATCATCCTGCTGTTGGCTCAGTTCTTTATTTTTCTACCCATTATGTCTTAGAAAGTATGGGCTTCTGCACAAACACAGAATGGCCAAAAAGCCATCCAGCTCTGGGATGTGGTGGATCTACTGGAATATTTTCTACCTGTTAAAACATACCTCACTCAAGACAGGAAACATTTTCAGTCTAAAGGGAAACAAACATTCTTCAGCATAACAACACTTTTTGTAAAGAGAAGGCAGCAACACAATGTTCTGACAATCCCTCTCATACACGCACGCACCCACTTCAGAGAAAATTCTCTCTTCACAAACAAAGAGGAGAACAAGACTGTCTAGTTTCTAGCTGCCTTCAGAAGTGCATTGTGGGGGGTAGGGGCAGTCTAAAAGGAGTGAGCCTCAGGATATCAGAAAGATTTAAAACTTGCAAAACAAGCCAGCAGGGGCAAGAGAAAGGCAAGGCAAAGGATATATTTGTAGTGTTTGGCTCTCCTGAATTCCTCAATCACATTTCGGGCATATTTGATCATGTCTCGGACAGTTTCTGCTGATGGAGGTTCATTCAGTTTGCGTTTTTCCAATTTATCTTTGTCCTGAAAGGAAACACACAAGAATTACAAATGCAATCCCAAACCTCACACTTAAAGGCACATCCACACACACAGTTTAAAAGCTACATAAAATTAATAAAATAAAAGGCATGGTTGGAATTTTAGGCTCCCACAAAGAAACCACTGAAATCTGTAGGGGAGAAAACAGATAAAATAGACTATTCCTCTGTAATTTTTCTCTAAATATTCGGCTGGAATGCTCTGAGCTTGCAAACTCCTGGATGATGACTGCGTCCACAACGCAAGAGCTATCCCAAGGCGTTTTATAAATGTCACTTGTACCAGCTGGTTGCAACATCTGTGATAAGGTCTTCAACTCAGATCCAGCTGCCATAGTTTCGCCACAGTGTTGGTGGGAAGCTACAAGCGGTGCAAAGTGCACCGATTCAGCAGCGCCTCTGACTCCATCTCACAAGGCACTGCCTCAGGACAGAACTCAAAACCCCCTGCTCTCTCTCCAATAGTGCTGGGCACCATACAATAGGTGCCTCAGAAGTACCAGAACAACACTGGTACAAGCAAGGATATAGTTGCTATGGGGGATGATGTGGCAAAATGGCTTTCTCAGAAACAGTGCTGGTTTGTGGGGTCATGCTATAATGCTACAAACCAGAAAGCTACTGCTTGCTCTCGTTATTTCTGCAATGGCTTCCTCACCTAGTACAAGCACCCCTTGCAGGTCAATTGCCCCTTTGCCTCTCCAAGAAGGTGAAGAGTGTGTCCCCAGTTAGACACTATGATGCTCTCCAAGAATTTCAAAAGCTCAGAACTGCTGCCTTGTGACGTTGGGTTTTTAGAAGCATCTAGTGTTAACCCCAGTGTGAACTCTAAACTAAAGTGTGAACTCCTGGTGTCAGAAGCCTCTTGGTCCTTGCTATGTGAGCTTTGAGAGGTGGGGGAAGACTGCCAGTTGTGCGTGGGTGATCCTTAGCATGCACACTAATGAAGGGCGGATTAGCAGGGTTCTACTGTACATGCAGTACGTCTTGCATGACTGGAACTAATCAAACTTCTCTAAATTCACCTTTCCAATCATTTTTATATATTGCCAAATTCTGCTTTCAATCACATTAGAGATTTCACAGATCTTAAGGCCAGATGGACCATTATGATCATCTAGTCTCACCTGAGTAACACAAGACACAGAATTTCAAACAGTCTGGCCCCATTGTATAGGTATAACAGCAGATTTTGTCCACTGTTCTGCATTTGCTTGATCTGCTCATCTGACATCGCCCTCCTTTGTCAATAAACCAAGAGAGTTTTCCAATATTGTTTTTACACAGATTTCTAAAGTGCCCATCACTGTAGTAACTGGTCGCACCGTCAAGTCACTAACCCACTTCAAAATAAAAAGTTTCACTGCTTATTTGACATAAGTTTTCTAAATTCCCCTACTAAAAACCCAGACACTTTAGGCCCACCAAGAAACTTAATTCAATGGAAAATGAATCCCATTCCATACTTCCCCTTCATGTCCTTTTGACTGTAGATACTTCCATAAGAGGTAGAGTGACAGGTTGTTTTGTGAGTGGTACATTGTTAAATGTTATGGGTGAAATCCCAGCTCCATTGATGCCAGCGGCAAAAACTCCCATTGACTTCAACAGGGGCAGGATTTCACCCTATATTTATATTCTAGAAAACTGAGCGTGATGGTCATGGAGTTCCTATATAATCATCTAAGAATACTGATATGCTACCTAGTTAATGAGAATCCAATTTATACTGGGGGTTGTGGAATATTTATTATAGGTCTGTAATGCTTAAAATCAGTGGGGACTACGGCAAGAATAAGCACAAAAGCAACACAATGGTCCCAGCTAAGAATATCCAGGCACACCTTTGACAGACAACAGGGGAAGCAATTAGTTTCATCCTGTCTCCAAGGAGGATGCAAGTTTTATTTTACCAGGCTGGGAACCTGGAGATCAAAAGGACATTCTCTCTTAGGGGAGTGTGGGGGTGCGGGAGGAGGATGGTTTGTGAGTTATGGGAACAGACTTCACTAATGAGACTCTCAGGACGGGTGTCAGCAGTGACTGACACCACCTTGTACAAAGACCCAGCTCAAGCAGCCTAGGTCAGTCTTGGACCTGGGCAACAGTGGCATAAATCCAATCAGTAAGAAAAAGAGGCCAAGTCCATAAACATCACATGCAGGAGTCAAAAAACCTTTGGTCCTTAAGACTCCCATCTCCAGCTACCTCCCTTGTACTTCCAGGAGGGAAGTAGTCTCTCAGAGGCAGGCAGACACTAGCTCCTCTAACAGAGTTTTTACTCCCTTGAAGTCTTGAGCTCTTCTACCTGGTCTCTTCCTCCCTCTTTATACTTGGGTTCGCCCTCATTAGCTACAGCAGCTGGGGCCTTCTCTCTCCCTAATTGAGATTTCTCACAGCTGAGGTAGGGTGGGACTGGTTTTGCTGTCTGCAGGCAGGCAGGCTTCTCACCCCCTGCCTGCCTTCCTTTTGTGTAGGATCGTAGACCCCATCTCACAAGGGGTCCATGAGAATCTTAGACTTACAGGATCCCTATGTGGAAAATAGTTAGATACCTGGTAAACTAGACATGAGTACTGTCTGTTTTATTGTTTTAAGACCTGTTTTTTCTTAATGCTTTTGTTATATTAAATATGTTGCTTTAAGGAGACGCCGGTCACTGGTTACCACTGTCTTTGCCTTAGAGAGAACAGAGCTGCAGGTGCTGTGCACAAGTCAGTCCTGCTGAGTAATCATGGTTGATCACAGGGGCCCAGTATCTGATCTGAGTGGGAGAATTGTGTCATTTCCCCCTCAGAAAGCTGATCGCTACAGGCGAGAGACCTGAAAGAGGGTGTCGTCAAAGAGATCAAGAGGAGTCAGAGGGGCAGTCAGCCTGGTAATTGTGACATATTTCTTACTAAAATAAAGCCATCTATAGATAGGTCTTTGATTAATTTGTACAGTTAACTGTAACCTACAGTATGTAACAAATCAATTTTTTCTTCTGCCTAACAAGATTTCTTTTTAATAAAGAGCTTTTATTGAAACTTTGTTCCCACAGCTACCATCACAATGCCTTTTTTCTCTGACTACATATAACAAGGGTAACACACAAGGTCATGGAAATGATACAAAAGTTAGCCTATCTGATAGTTAGTGCCACACGTGTATTGTCACATTAAAGCTGAGCTGCAGCGCAAATACAAGAACTCAGTTAAGCAGAGATTTGTTTGCTGAAAATCCCCAATTATCAGGCTGTGGGAGCCATTCAGCACAGAATTAGGTTTTAATTAACTCTTTTAACTGAACTCTTTGAAGTCAGTGGCAAGCCAGGATTGACACCGATGGGTTCATGATCAAGCCCTAAATTCCCCCTGTGAAATCCTTGTGGTACTTCTTGGTTCACAGAAGAAAGACCAGAATTAATCAATCATTCAGTACATCACTGGTACCATGAACTGCAGAGAGACTTCTGGTATTTGTAATGTTGCATCCTGGGATACTTTCAGAAAGCCAGGAAGAACCAAGAGAATTTCACAATATGCGGGGGGGAAGAGGGGAGGAAAGAATACCAAAGTCAGAAAAAAACCTGATTTCTGTGCAAAATGCCCCATACATCCAGTTTGTGGAGACACTCAGTACAAAAACTTGGGTCTAACAGTTTTCATATTACCTTTAAGCAAGTACCCACCAGGATATTCCATGATACTTCATGATTACAGTGGAGAGAAAGGGTATGAGAGAAGGTCTCAGACAGAAAGCACTCCCTACATTCCAAATCTGATTAGTCAGATAGAAAACAGCATGAAAACCTCTGGTATGTGGGTAGGTCACCAGGAACATACTTCTATACCATGGTTATATTACCTTTTCTTTAGTAATGCATTCCCTGCAGTCACAGGTGAAAAAATAGGAGTCTCTTAACCGATCATTTCTATCTTCTGTAGGGTACAACAGATCGATATAACTAGTAAAAATCTAGAGGAAAAACATACAAAATCAAATAAAAAAAACTTGCATAATAAAGTAAGTGCACCCACATTTTATAACAAACACCACATACACACAATCCATATATTTCAAATATCTAATATAATCAGATCACTATATACTTGTACAACAGATCACATCCCTACAATCACATCACCTGTCCACTAATCCCACTTCCCAGGGACTAATTCTTACATTTAAAACTTCTCAGCAGCTCCAATCAGTCGCTATTTCATTAATTCAGTCTGCCAGAGAAATGCTTCCTCCTTCTAAGGGTGGAATTTCCCCTCTAATGGAGGCTCAGGACAGGCAAGATTCTGGACTGGGCAAGAGAGCTTTTCTGTACCTAAAAATATCATGGCTTTAAGTGTGCCATCTCGGCTCCTGCCAGGCTAGAAACTGGGGCCTAAGTGATTACTGATTTGGGGTGCCCAACTTGAGAAACCTTAAAGGGGCCTGATTGTCAGAGGCTGGGTGTTCTGCTCTTTCTGAAAACCAGGTCCTCCAGTTGGGCACCCAGAATCACTAGCAGTTTTGGAAAATTTAGGACAAGAGCTTTAATTTATTGAGGAGATTTCCACTTTCCAAAAGGGATCCAGTGCTTCAGTTCTGGAAGGGTATTTAAAAAAAAAAAAAAATTATCAGGATTTAAAGCAGTGATATTTTTAAGTACAAAAAAATTATTATAGGTCATTTTACAGGCATTTCTCATTCATTAGTTTTAATTTCCCTCTCCTTCTGAGCCCTGCACAGTGGAACTCTTGGCACTAACTAAACTGTTTTGTGTTTTAAAATGGTATCCTCCCAAGAAACATCCTAAATACACAACACAGTTGACCACTTCTTCACTGAAGAGCAAGAAAATAAACTATAAATAAGAAAATTGAACCAAGTCTTAAAATGTTGTGCTAATCTGATCTAGTCTTTGCTGGTCTTTACTCTCTCTGAACAGCAGACAATTTCACTTATACCTGTTTTTGTTCTATGCTGGCACTCAATTTATTTCCCCAGGCACAAAACACACAAGATGCAGGAGCTTTAAGTGGAAACTGACAGTTTTCTGTTGCAATGGCTACACTGAACCAGAAGATGGAGACACAGGCCATGTGACTGTAGTACACAAGCAAAGAGATTCAGTCCAACACACTTTGTCCACACACTGCGCATTTTTTAAATGTTAAAAGACCAGTTATGGGATACAAGATTCCGGTTTTTGGAATTTTCTACCAAAGAATCAGCAATCATTTTGTAAATAACAATCCAGCTTTAAAAGTCAAGATGTCAAGAGATGTGTTCTATTTCTCATTTTAACCCCACAAACAGTAAGTCCATTATAAAAGATACTACACCTCTACCCCGATATAACACGACCCGATATAACATAAATTCGGATATAACGAGGTAAAACAGCACTCCGGGACGGTGGGGCTGTGCACTCCGGCGGATCAAAGCAAGTTCGATACAATGTGGTTTCACCTATAACGCGGTAAGATTTTTTGGCTCCTGAGGACAGCGTTATATCGGGGTAGAGGTGTATGTCCAGGATGTCACTCTAAATAGTCAGCTTGTAATTATCTCATGTGCATTAATTAAACTTTGTTTGCAATGTGTGCTGATGTTACTGTGACCAACTCCCCTACTCAGAATGAGGAGGAATTGTACACCTGGGTTGTCCCATTACTCAGGCAAGTAAATCTTTACCCATTGTCAATAAGGAGTGTTCACAATCTGACCCCAAACAGTTTTCCTCCTCTTAGTGACTTCAGTCACATTATTTTCATTACACTTAAATAAAAAACCCAAGCAAATAAATAAATAGGCAATTGCTACCAAAATTAACCTCAAACTTATTTTAACACGATTAGCCGTTATCATTCATATGCCATTATCGAGGTGTAACAGTGAAATCCTACACAAACTCCATGATTATTTAGCAAATGCACCATTGTTGTCACTCAAGATTATGGTTGAGCACCTCCCCCACCCTGCCCAAGATAAATTTAACAGATAAAGGTGGTCTTTGCTGATGAAGACACATTGTCAAAGATCAGTGACTGACCCAGATTGGCTTGACGCAACCTAAAATGCTTTGTTCTAGTCATGGGAAATTCAATCCAGCCTTCATTGACAGTCTTGCCCCCCCTGGGGTCATAGAGGTCAAAATAACTTCATTCTTTCATGGCATAGTCCTGTTTTACCCAGTCTGGTCTGGATGAGCTCCATGTTACAAGAACACTCTGTCCAGACAGAAGTAGGATAGCACAGAAATGATCAGTCCCCCTTTTACTTGGTCTTGTTCTGGCTACCTCCACATCTTCCTTACAATACTATTATATTGGTAATGGTAATTATTACAGTAATAATAATAGTTTACATTCATTTGACCCCTTTCATATGGGGATCTCAAAGTATCAGCTAAACATCAATAACTCAAGCCTCAAAGCTACCTTGTGAAGTAGCTACTTATACCCATTTTACAGATGGAGCAAGTGAGGCACAGAGGGGTCAGGTTCCTGTGTTGAACTGGTGGCAGAGATACAACGCCCTGCCTCACACTCCTCTGCTTTAACCAACAAAAAGACACTGTCTCCCCTTGCCCCACCCCTGATTTTTTTTTTTAAAGTGAGTTTTCAGAATTGATTGAAAGACAAGAGACATGAGGAACAGGCTTCCATTTTAACTGGAGCGATGCTTGACAAGCCAAATTCACCCCCACTTTACCACGTGCATGCCCACACACCACCGCATTTACACTCACATGATATGCATTTACCTCATCTCCAGGTTCAATCTCTTGAACAGCTCTGACTTCAGCTAAGGTCCCTTTGTACGTTACAATCACATTTGGGCAACAACTATGGTTCATCAGTGCAACACTGTAAAAGCAAAAGGGCAATTTTTGTGTCTGAAAGCAAAAAGCATCACTTCAGCATCTCAGCTCAAGTCATCTTGCTCTGCAAGATGCGTCTCAGCTAAAAACATAGGTAACCTTAAGAAAACTAGGGTGACCAGATGTCCCGATTTTATAGGGACAGTCCCGATTTTTGGGTCTTTTTCTTATATAGACTCCTATTACCCCCCACCCTCTGTCCCGATTTTTCACACTTGCTGTCTGGTCACCTTAGGAAAGGCTATAGTATTGTTATTATAAAATTACAACGAATGGTCCTGCTAATGAATAGGGTAGGATCAGACAAATGGTCCTTCCATCCCTTGTTGTGCAGGGTGCTAAATGCTAGTGGGTAGCTGCTGTCCAGAGGTGACTATATTACAGTGGTATGTATAATGGGAGCAGGAGCAGGCCTTGTAAAGTCAATGGCAAGTCTCAGTGGGACCAGAGCCAGGCTCATAGCTTGAGAAGTGCCAGGGGATCCCTTGGGGAAGAGAAGTACTAAGTATTATACTTGAAAGCAATGCAGACAGAAACTTAGTACACAAAAGGCCACTTGTTTGCACTGGAGTCCGAGACCAACTGTAAAACTCCTATCAACTTCAGAGAGAGCAAAAGCAGGCCCCAAGTCTAAAAAAAAATAAATTATTTTTCAGTTATGCACACAAAGTGTGCAAAAAAATTCTAACTGCTGGGGGAAAGCATGTCCTCCAGCACTCTGGGCTCTGAGAAAATTCAGTTTGTCTGTTTTATTAGACATAGTAGTTAACATACCTTCTTTAACCCACCCCCCACAAATAATAATTGCATCTTTGGTCAGAGATCAAGATGGAGAACTTTTAGCTCAAAGGTATAATTGTTGTTAAATTCGAAAGGCCTAATTCACAGAGTTGCTGAGCACCCTCAAACAGAAAGGATGGTCTTACAGTTAAGGCACTAGACTGGCACTCAGAAGCTCTAGGTTCAATTCCCTGCTCTGCCACAGATTGCCTCTGTGAACTTGGGTAAGTCACTTAATCTCTCTGTACCTTAGTTCCCCATCTGTAATAAGACAACAGCATCCCTGCCTGTCTCTCACCCTTTGCCTTGTCTTTTTAGAGAGTGTAAACTCTTTGGAGGAAGGACTGTGTTATTCTGTTTATGTACAACATAAACTGCACCTAGCACAATGGTACCAGGACCTCAGCTGGGGACTCTAAATGTTACTGTAATACAACCAACCATCACCCTGTAGCTCCTGCTGATGTCGATGGATGTGCTCAATACCTTAGAAAACTCAGATTAAGCAATGCTTTCAATATGGGCTATACTGTCAGCAGCAAGAGGGGAATTTGCAAACCAACTCCCTTGAAGGGGGCACCTTTCTTCCTCTTGAGCACTAGAAAGACCCATGTCTCCTATTCCATGAAAAGCACTTTAACATCTGTGATTTACTTCTAGAGCTGACAGAGTTTGTACATAATTTTTCACTGTCATGGCAACATAACACATCACACTGTTAAAACATCAGAGGAGGTGGTTGGAGGAATGTAGGAAGGAGATCCGCTACTTAAAAAGGAACAAAGCTTGGGAGATGGCATTGAACAGAGACTAATCACTTGGTCAGAGAGCACCAGGTTAAGGACTCCACCAAACTAAAACAAAATGGAAAGATTTTATGGGGGAAGTCATCTATGCAACTATTTTCAATTTATTTTGATCATCAGAAGCCCATTGATTCAGATCAATCTGGATGTGGTTCACACCCGGAGTTTCATGGCTTCAAACCAAACTGAAAGGGTAACTCTGCTGAAATAATCAAGTTTTTAAATCAAAGCGGTCTAAAATCATAAACTGGTTCACAGCCACTTGAAACTGTACCCTTATCAAAAGGTAGGTGGACCTTATTGAACTCTTTGGCAAAGATGGCCTGACTTTTGGGTTTCCAACAAAAGCAGGTGAAACTTTATTATAAAAAGTTTGCACAACTCCATTGCACAGTACTATACAGGTCCCTCTACGTACACGAGACAGTTCTTTGAAGCCACTGTGCTACATCTCCAGTATCTTGGAGTATTTCATTAGAGACAGAATCATAACCATGGGTTAATTCAATTTACCACGTCTGTTTAAAAAATAAAATCCAACCTACTCAGGAAATATTGCTGATCCCAAGTGAGACAGTTCTTCATCTTCAATTGTGAAGCCATTACAATTAACCTAAGCAAAAGAGAGAGTGATTAGCTCAGATCTCTGGTAATCACAATCTTTTGGTTTAATATTCCATGTTTACATACATACTCTGGCTATAAGGGACCATGCTGAGCAGTAAATTGCAGTAATCTGGTTGCAATTTTGTTTATTCTTAGTCAGTATTTATACAGAGCTACTAGTGTTCAGAGTCCTCATGTTGAGGAGTTTACAGTCTTTTAGGCAGACTAAATGTAAAGGATAAAGACTCATGCACCAGAGTAGGATCAGATCACAACACAGAGGAAATCAGCCTTTGGATAGCCAAGGACAGGACATGAGGCTTAAAAAGAGTTTGGAAGAAGGAGAGACAGGTTGCCTGTATAGAGCGAGACTATTCCAAGCAGAGAGGACATTGTGAAGCAAGGCACAAAGTTGAGAAGTGGCAGAGGAGAGAAAAGAGGCCAGTCCTGCTTCAAATGGAAATTTAACTACGGATGTCAATGGGACCAGGATCTGGCCCAGAGGAATGCTAACAACAGAGGACTGGACAGAGCTATGTGCACAAAGAAAAGGGAGGGTGAACAAACCCAGACAGACAGTGAAGGGCCTGTGCAGTGCCTTGAATATGATACACAGGGCCTGGCACAGTGGGGCTGCAACCTGGTCAATGCCTCAAACTGCACCTGCAGTACAAATATTTATTTATTTTTAATTATTAGTAATGGACGAAGAACTTGAACTTTGTGGCAAAAAGAGTAGAAGCTAACGATGGGAATAAATGACGGTGGAGACATAGTGGGAGGGGCAGGAGCAGACAGGTTTAATTAAAATACATGGACACAGGACAAGGCCAGATATTTGTCAATACACTTGAAAGAAAGGAGTCAAACAGGCCATAAAGCCATGTCCTGAAATCCCTGCTCATGTTTTTTCTCTCATTGAGCTCAATGGGAGCTTAGGGCTAGTCTACACTACCGCACTGCTTGGGTGCAGCTGTGCCGCTGTAGCGCATCTGGTGAAGACGTGCTACACCGATGAAAGAGCACTCTCCCATCAGCATAATTACTCCACCTCTGCAAGAGGTGGAGGCTATGGTGGCCGGAGATGCTCTTCCACCGACATTGTCGGGTGTGGACACTGCTTTAAGTTGATGTAACTTGCACTGCTCAAGGGGTGGCTTTTTCACACCCCTGAGTGATGTAACTTACATTGACTTACGCGGTAGTGTAGATAAGCCCTTAGTCTAAGTAGGAACTTCAGGATTTGGCCCACAATAGTCTCAGTGTCAATGCGTGTGCACTAAACAACATTTAAAGCTGCACTTCCCGTCTATGTTCACAGTCACTAAAATCCATCTCAACCCCAATCAAGTAGTTTAGGCCCCATGTTGATGATAGCTGCATTTATGCCAGCAGAAAGTTAACCCCCCATATATCTCCCTGCCAGTATCGATAAACTCTCCTTTCCATGCTGATACCAGAATGGAATGAACACAACTGTTGTCTCACAAGTGCCAAATGAAGACACAATAGACCCAGGTGCGGCCGATCAAGTATAGACTAGTAGGATTGTCAACTACACATGAAGCCCCCTGAAAGAATCCCTCGTCTTTTCCCTTTACTGAAACTACTGGGAACATACGTCTATGCTCCACTAGCCACACTACAGTGAGGACTGTACTTTAGAAGCAGTGTGAAACCCCACCCCCAACCCACCTCGACCATCCTTCAGATAAAGATCAATGAACTACATAAGCAGAATTCATGGTTCTAAATAAAGAATGGTAAAATAACTTCTAATAATTATTACTTGTAGTGTGGCAGTATCCAAAGGTCCCAGTCAGGATGGGGGCCTCATCATGCTAGGTGCTGTACAAACATCCTGCCCCGAAAGCCATCAATCAAATTTAAAAAAAGACACAAAACAGGTGAGCGTAAAACAGGCGGGAAGGAGGATGGGGTTAACAGCAATAAGAACACAGGGCTACATAGGCTGGTGACGGACACAAAACTTGATGGTTCCAATTGATTTGTAAGTTGATTTTTTAAATAAATATATAGTCAGGTACCTCCAACTACTCTCAGCCTAGTCATCGGTAGGTGGCTCTTTCTTGTAAGCATCATAGGAGAAATGGGTCAGGAGAAGGGATTTGAAGGATAAGAGGTTAGCGGGTTAGAGTTTAATTCAAGGAGAGCATTCCATGTGTAAAGGGAAGTTTGTGAAACTTGAACGGCATTCAAGGCTGGCATCAGTGATACAATAGAGGATAAGAGACAAGAGCAGGCAAGAAAGCTGGGGGCAGAGTTATGCAGACTCTAGAAGAAGGGGACAAGCCCCTTGAGCATGATGTGATCAAGAAGGGGTGTCAGTGGAAGGACCGGGAGGAATGTATAGCGCGTAACATGGACACAGTGACAGGCTAGGATGTTGATCTCATTAGCTGGGTTTTGTATGGACAGAAGGGAGCAATGCGGATGTCAGGGATGCAGGGGAAGAGGGGGTTGCGGTATCCAAGAGCAGGAAATGGGGGGTCAGCAGCATGCAGAAAGTAGCTGAAGCAGTGGGAGCTGATGAGATCACCCAAGAACAGAGTCGCGTGGGAGAAGCTACTGTTTTAGTAAAAATCAATTAATCTTTGGGGGTTCTGGCTGCTTTCCAGCAAAATATTTAAAATCACAATAAGAATTTGGACAGGTCAGATTCCTTAAATCGAAGCAAAGGTTTGGATGCAGCTCTTTCTAGATCACTCGACAAGCTGAAAAGGCTTAAAAAAATAGAAAGAAAACTTTTCAATCGCCAAAGAAAACCAAACAAAAACAAAAAGTGAATCATGGGAAGCCAGATGGCTTAGAGGATAAGTAATGGAATACAGTACTGGAACTTTCACCTGAAGTACAGCAGTTTAAACACTAATTAAGGTAATAATAGCAGCGATGACCCCTTACTGCTAGGCACTGGCCTATACAAAATGAGTGGGCAGTCTCAGTCCAATAGTAGGCAGTTGTCCATATCTCAAAAACCTACCACCACAGACGGCATGGCACCCTTTGTTGGAGGCTTAAACAGGGAGTCCAGACAGAAAGATAGAGTGATGCTTGGCAATTCTGGATGAAAATGTGCATTCACCTTTTGGGGGGGGGGGGGGGGGGGGGGGAGGGAGATGAGAGGATGCAGGCATGAAGGCGAAATGTCACTCTTAGAGCATCACAACTACTACTATGTCCAGTAAAATACATGAAGTCTGGATTATATGTGAAATTCAAGATAAGAGACAGAGGTAAAATTAAACATTTTAAGATTTCAAAATGTTATCCAAAATAACATTCTGCTTCCTTGCCACCTGTCCAGAGCGGTGATAAATGAACTACCGGATCACATTTAGAAACTTGTGCCTGGGAGAGAACACCATAGCAATGCTTTACCACTACCCCCTCTGCTGTGGATACAAGGAAGGCTGTTCTCATTGCTGTCTTTTGCTTCTTTCACGAAGTCTAGATTCTCACAATACCCACCTACCTAAATGGATTTTATTCTAGCCAACTTACTTGTGCAAAGAGGACTACAAGGGCAGCGTTGTCAGGGTACTCTATGTGCTTTGAATAAAAGTGATGAAGAGCAGCAATGTCATTCTGAATCAGCTCTCTCTTTTCATTGTCTAGTTTATCAAGGTCTGTGGATAAAGAAGACATCCTGTTTCAATACAAGGAACTCTCTTCTGGTTAACTGCAGCCATAGCTAGGTTAGAACAGGTCATAACTTGGATGGGAGACACCCAAGGAACAGCTGTATGGAGGTATTGCAAGAAGTGGTTGTGATTGCTTCTCCTTCCAAGGCCACGTGTATACACTGGGAAAATGCATGAGGTTAGAAAATGTTGGCTGATACTTTTTTATTAACAAGAGATTAAACACAATATCCCTGAGGACAAGAACAGTAGTATTTAAAACATGTTAGCTGATGGTTAACTTAGCCCTAGGGTTAACCATGGCTGTGAATATGTTCTTATACACTACTTGGCCCCGTCTACAAAAGGTGCTAAGCCACATTTAATATCATGCTAGTGAAACATTTCCCAACATGACAGACCTTCCCCATGTAGACGTGTCCTAGTCCGTACTGAAAGTGTCCCAGTAGAACACTAGAAGAGACTGTTCTGCCCCTCATCCAAAAGACAGGATCTCTAACAGCAGAGGTCCTAACCACTTGCAGACATTGAAGATCTCTACTATTTGCAAGGCTTGGGGCATCAGCAGTGGTGTCCTGGCATATTTGTCTGGTCCTGTCCTGGTATTTTATATCCAGTCCCACTCATGGTTCCAGACAAAACCCTGGGCAGCTAAGCCGTCTGACATTTCGAGGGGGCTGTGGACTGAGCATTTTCCCAGTCCCTTCTCTGCTTGAGACACTTTTTGCTCTCACTCTAACAGAAGCAGAATGGAGTGCCTAGTTGTTACCACTGTCATCCTCCCTACTCTGCACAGTAGCAGGAGTACCAAGTCACACCTGCAAAGCAAAGTAATGCTACAATTCCCCTCTGCACCCCAAAAATATGACAGCAGTGAGAAGAGAGACTACAGGGAAAAGAGCTGAAAAGGAGGGGCACAAATGGGAGACACACATAAGAGTGGGGACAACTGAGGGGAGACACAGAATAGTGGGGACACTGAAATGGAACAATTTCGGGATGAGAACTAGGGGGAGCTCAGGTGTAAGAAAGAAAGATGAAGCCTTCCAATGAGAATCCTATGCCATTTCTTCACTCACCCATCCCTGGGAAGAGAGTGAGGGCAGGGGGCAACTGCTGAAGATGCCAAAGGGGGGTGGGTAACGGGCAGCAGAGGGGGCTTCTCACCAAGACAGCCAGAAATAGCAAGGGAGCCTGTTGGGGGAGAAGGGCAGAATTGTGGTGGCAGAGCATCTCAGTGCTTTAGGAGGGCACTGCCACAGTTTGGATAAGCATCCACTGACCCAAACCCCAACCCTTTTGGGCTTCCAAATGAGTAAGGTATTTATATTAACGCAGGCTAAAATTCAGCAGAATCCACAGAAAACCCTCCATGAACACCCACCTCTCGGTTCCCACCACTAGCTTGTTTGACAACTTGTCCTCGAAATTCCTCTCAGTGTAGGCTGCTCTGGCTTGGACAAATGCCAACATTTTACCTATTCCATTCCCCCTGGCAGTTCCAGTTGAGGCAATCTCATTCACCTTCTGTACTAAAGCTGTCCTGTAGTCTTGCTGGGCTTGGTTAAATAACTGCCACCTCTCACTCCATCAATGACAGCATTTGTCTAGCATTTTGTCAAGGGTTTGGGAATCCTTCAGGATGAAAGGCATGTAAGCCTACAATACTATCGCCTCATCATCTCAGATGTATGTGCACATCAGCTTCTTCTTATTACTATCAATACCAAGAAAGGGAGCAACACTGCAGCGCCATGTAGACTATTCCAGGCCGGTTACTCTTAACAGTTGCTCAATTTCTAACTGCCTCAAGGGCGCGGGGGTGGAAACAGTAACCTTCCAGATAAAAGCAAGCCACTGCCTTCTCTCCTTCCTCAGATCACTTTGGAGCATTCAGGACATGGAATTTCAACACAATCATAGAGAACATGTCAAATTTGACTGGCAGTGACAGACACTGAACTGCAGTCCAGAGGATTCTGCAATTAGCCCCATAGTCATTGTCACCATCAAACAACTGTGCTGTCTCTGATTTTATGCCTCCTGGTAACAATACCAGCTATTTTAATTTTGCAACATTACAATTCAGAAAAGTCACCAGAGTGCCAGGAAAGCCATCTGATGGATGAACACTACATAATTAATCTGTCTAAATTTTCACCCTCACTTCCCCACTCCCCCAAGCTACCAACAGAAAAAGAAATTAAAGCATTACAAAAAATTTTGGAAATGCGGTTCTCTTTTTCACTTCCTCCTCCTATAACAGAGATGCTTGGAGAAGGTTTTGATGAAGGGTAATGAAGCAACTCCTAAATGCACTATGAAAAAGAGCTCCTGTTACCTGCAAGTCTTCTCTACTTACGTGATTCAAACTCTTTTACAGCAAGCAATTTTTCTGATTGTGTTCTTTCAGGGTGGGTTTTCTAGAAACAGAAAAAGATTGCAATGACAAGAGAAAAAATGTGAAACTATCACATATTTTGTCAATCAGCGCTTATATTGAGATTTTTTACCCACAAAACAAAAACACAAAACTCTCACTGTATTCAGGCTTTATAAAGGTCAATGAACAGTGATCTGGTCAAACTGACTAACCTTACAAGCCATAAAAAATATATATATATATTGCTGTGCCAAATAAAGCAGGCATAAATTAACTCCAATCAAATATACACACATAACCAGTACAGTATTTTAAAATATGTCATTTACTTTGTTCTAGAAACCCAGAAAGCTACTAACAGCAGCAAAGCAGGCAAGAGACAGGCTTCGCTTTGAGGAAAGTGAATAAACTCACTGTTGACAGAGTTCAAAAGCAGTGCTCTATTGTTGGCCTAAGGCCACTTCTTTGTAATCTTGGCCATTATATATGGCTTTGCAGGTGGCCCAGCAGCTGAGGTTCAGGGACTATGGTTTGCATATTTAGCTTTTATATGACATGTAGGTTCTCCCCTCCCTCAAGCACAAATTTATTCCAATGACTTTTAATCATTAAACATCTAATTTTGTTTGTGGATCACCACTAGACTGTGCTTTAATTAAAAAAACTAAACCCACACACACAGGCACAGAGGGAATATGCAGGCTACCTTCCCAGCAGGCCATCAAAATCCTCTCTATATACAGTATCCGGGTTGCCCTTGTCATATACGCAGACCTCGATCATACAAATGTGCTTCAAAGAGGATTTGTTTTTGCAGAGAGCATTTAGAGCTTTGCAAAAATACACAGTGTAATAACCTTGAAACTTACAGGTCCAATCTCTTCCCTGCAAACACTTCTGCTATGCCCTTCCCACCATCACAAATTCTGCATTCCAAGGAATATTACAGATGGAGTTAATAATGCAACATCAGAGCAAGCACACTAGCGTAGTATCTTCCTATAAATAATCCTTCTCTTTCCAAGGGACTGATTTTCCTTCCTCCAACACTGGTTTTACATCAGGGTCACTCCATTCATTCTAATTGGATCACTCAATTACCTGTTCTGTTCATTCCCTCTGAAGCAGCTGGCATTGGCCACTGTCAGAGACAGGAGACTGGGCTAGATGGACCATTGGTCTGACCCAGTGTGGCCGTTCTTATGTAACTATATGCATCTGTCTGAATGAGAAGAGAATCAGGACTTATGGGGTGCTTACAGAGTGAACGGTGCTATAACTATACAATGCTATACAGTAAAATCTGAAGGAAGTTCTGTTTCACACAAGTCTAACAAAAGTGGCTGCCATTAAAAAGCCGGTGTTTGCCAACAGATACCACATGTGGCATCCATCAACTTAACCGCAAACACGGAGTCTGATCCCCCTCTCATTTATGCTACTTTGGCCTTGATGCTATGCCACTGACTTCTTGAGCCCACACTGCACTGGTTCTACTAAGACATCAGCTTAACACCTCTCAGAGCATCCAACTGGATGTTATGCTGTCTTAGCCATTTCAGCCATCAGTTTTTTCAGCTGCTCACACTCAGCACTGCAGCTAATCTGTACACAGGAAACTAACACGAAGCATGTTCTGCTGGGACAGTTACTGTAGGTCAAATTTTCATTTTTCTGCTCTTCCGGCTCCTCGCCTCCACCCCCCCTTTGAAAACAGACAAAGTCTTGCGTTCTGCTCACCTGTTTGGCAAGAATCCTCGCGGTCAGTCTCACAGTCTCTGAGGGATTCCAGTTCTGCCCAAAAACACACATGGCAGAACATTCCAGCTTGTGCATAGCCCAATCTGCTTTCTGGAAGGTTAAAAAAAAAAAAGAAGCACAGAAGAATAAGAGATGAAAAAAGAGGATGCAGCAAGTCCCACCAGAACCTGGAGGTCAAGTGAAATGTGTTTCCTTTAGAAAAATAAAATGACACTTGCTAAATCGGAACAAAAGCTTGAGTAATTTTTAAGGGACAAAGCTGTCTTTTTCTTTTTAAACATGCTCGCCAAGGATGAGTCAAGGTCATACTATCTTCATTTATTTGGTGGAAATAAAATATAAACTCTGAAGAAACAAACATGAAACGCTGTTTCTAAATCATCAATCCTTATTGTTCAGAACAAGCATGGAAGGGGAGAATAGGTTCTCGCTTAATGGTTAGCCTGGGTTCAATTTCCATTTAATAAATACATTGGCCCCGATTCAGATATGACCCTGGTATAAATCAGGAGTAAGTCTTCTGAAATCTATGAGTTTGCATCAATATAAAGACAGTGTATGTAAGATCAGGATCAGACCTATTGAATAGATTCTTCAGATTTATTTTGTTAGTTAGCAAAGTGTAATAGAATAAGCCTGGGGCTCTCCAATGCAGTAGTAGCAAGATTAGTGGCTGAAAGAGGACAGACACCCTTTAGTTAAAATTTAATGTTACATACTTCCCTTAAATACAGTAAAACATTTCACGTAATTAATTTTTTGCCATCAAGCAAAGTTATGAATAGCTGTTCTCGGGTGTATGAGACTTTCCTGAACACTCTATGGATGAAATGGATGCAGGCCATTAAGGCCTGCACAAAGAGATCCACATTAACAGATTTAAGTGATACACAGGCTGTGGTTCAGGCCTCTCCTGGACTGGAGTGTATTTCACCTTATTTGTATATTTAGAACATAAATCAATGTTCAATTTTATATCATATAGTTCTAACATTCATGCCCACAGGACATATGAAGTGGTAAAATCCACACAATGGGTTACATTTATGCATTTGTCCCTTAATACTTAAGAGGCAATCAATCCCTATCCTCAAATAAAACACCTGAGCCAAGGAAGGTGTGGGGTGGAGAGGAGAGAAGACAGGGGAGCATACCATAACAAGTCCCACAAATTTATCACTGAACTAAAGTGAGAACATGAAAGTCTTTGGCTGCCCCTAGAGGGATACTAAGGTTTCACTCTGACACATACTCCAAAGTCACAGGCCTTCAGAGAGTCAGCCCTGCACATCACCCTTGAAAAATTCCAGCATGGGGACCATCATCACCACCCTCAAGTGCCATGATAGGATTTGGAGCAACTCAATGTCCCTCAGGTAGACTGACCCACGGTTATTTAAGGCTTTATATACCAAAATAAAAGTCAGACCCACTGTCTCATCTTGATGCCTCAGGAGTTTCCATTGGAAATGGCCATTTGTAATTGCCCCATACACTGAGATAAATTTTAGGGACTCACCATGGGAGGGAACAAAGGCCCTCAACTCACACTGGAGGCTCAACGGAGTGCAAAAGGTGCTCAGCACCTTGCCAAGTTAGGCCCATTGCCCTTGGTTTCTTTTTTTCAAATCCAAAATTGAGATTTTACATGCAGCCTACGTGAAGCAACCCCAAGGTCTGACCGTTCTAAGAGGCGACAACAATGTAGAATTTTAAAGTATTTTACATTTTAGTCATATCATTTAAAAAAAATATCTTGGATGCTCCCACTGATGCAGCAGTCACATTGCAAAATTTATCCTTGGAAATACTGAATTCCTATGCACTGTGAGAGCTGGTTGGAAAATTTCTATGGGCCCTTAGTCTTTAGCCTGTGTGTTCAAGAATTACACAATGAGGACCCAGTCCTTCATTCTTTGCACATCCAAAACTCCCACTGACTTCAATTTGACGAGTTTTGGGTGTGCAAGAAGAAGTGTAAGATCAGACCCTACTTTTTTTTAATACAGACTTATGTTCACATATACTGTTTAATTAATAAGAATACTTGAAAAACAAAGCCAAGATACAAAATTATATGCCTGCCTCAAAATAATGTTTTCAAAATGCATTTGTTTCCTTTATTCTCTAAGCATTGTTAATTAAAATCTTTCCTCAGGCAGAATCATACTGAGTTATGTGAACTAGTAGGGAGGTTAAAGGGACAAGATATGGCTGGATTGTGCAAAGCAAGATAAAAGCCTGAAACATTGCAGGAATAGAGAACAGTGATGACTGAGTAATACCTGGTATGAAAACACTCAGAGAGCCCTTCTCTGCAATCACAGCAGGATTGCATTTAGCATTCTTTTCTACGTTTTCTCTGAGTGGTTTGAATTATAGCGGGTATCATTGTTCTAGCTGAATCCCCAGTGCTGTATTAATGATATTTTTTTCCTATTTTCATTACGTCTCCTGTATTTTTCCCCTCATTTAAGGCAGAGTGACAACACTTTTGGAAAGGAAGTTTGCTAAGCCTTGTGTTTTCCACATCAAAGAGAGTGGAAAAGTAACCTCCTCCTCCAAGTTCTTCAAAACGATTGCATCAGCTAGGACTACTGGATTATTTGCCTGAAGACTAGACTAGTGCAGCATACTACAAAAACAACAACAACCAGTAGTCAATACAAGCCCAAAGGGAGACATTGTTCAGTCCCATGTAAAATTACTATCGTTTGTTAAATGGCAGTGATGTGCTTTGTTGGTACAGAAGAAGACACATATAAAAATAGTCTCTGTCCAGTGGAGCTTAGAGAGTCTAGAAGACAGATACACAGATAAGACAAAAAGGTCCTGGGAAAGCCAGTGGAAGGATTAATGAAGCCCAATCATGCAAACACTTAGAGCCTGATTCTACCACTGATACTTGTGTTGGGCAGTGCTCCTGCCCCCACAAAGAATCCCACTGATTTCAGTGAGACTACTTGTGGTGTATGGTACTGTTGAGCGTGAGTAAAGGTATTGCAATATGGCCCTGAAGTGCTACACCCAGTGATACGTGATTCAGGTTCAAGCCTTTGTGTCTTCTTCCCCTCTCGTCCCCATTTACAAAATGTTGGGCTGGAGAGGATACGAGATTGACATGGGTTAGCGTTTGAAGGACTCCCAGAAGAAGCGAGTCTTTTTAGGAGAGATTTCAATGAGGAAAGGGTGAGGGAGTGGCCCACTGGAAGTGAAGATCATTCCAGGCACACGAAGCAACATGGAAGGAGACATGAACATGAGAGTGGGACTGAGAAAAGAAGGGGATAGTGAGGCTGGTAGGGCCAGGGCCGGCTCCAGGCACCAGGCACCCAAGCTGGTGCTTGGGGCGGCACCTGGAGGGGGGCGGCGCGGCGCTCCGGCCGCCAGGGAGAGCGGGGCCACAGCCGGGCTTG